CCCTCCCTTGTAGTGTAACAAGAGATACAGGTGCTTGCTCACTGGGGCTTGTTTGGACAAAATGTATTTGAATATGAAGTCAAATAGGAACATTTTTTTGAGTGTGAGCAATAAAGAGCAGGTATAGTGTGGAACAGAAAGGAAATAATGAATCTGGAAAGGATTTAGGGATCAGGCTGGAATAGAATAGCATGAGCTTGGTTTAATGCTGTGTTAAAGAGGGCTGGCATGATCCTTGGAGTAGAAAGGTGATTATTATGCTTCTTTAAATAGCACAGTTGAGCCTAATATTAGAAGGCTGTACTTGGTTTTTAGAGCTTGAATTTTTCTTGCATGTCTTCCCTTGCATGTTGTGTTTGGAAGGTGTATTAAGAAATTACAGCAAAAATTTTGAAAAAAGTCAGGTTAAATTAGAAATAAGGAAAACTTCTTTGAGATTTTTCTGCTGATTGAAAATCCTTAATCATCATCACCATCATAAAACTCTGCAATTTTTATTTCAAGTCTGAAAACACTAGGGTCAGATCTCAGCATGCTTTCTCAAAGTTGTTCTGCCTAATGCAGAAATTCTGCAATCTCTGGAAACACGGGAAAAAAGATTAGATGGTCTAATATTTTTTTTTTGTCCTTAATCTCTTGAACAAGCATCCAAGTGCAGATTCAGGACAGTCCAGCCAAGATTGATAGTGTGCTTCACAGTCTTCAAACTAGTATGAGGCTAGTCTGTTCCTGTGTGAGTATTCATGGGAAACACCTGGTGAAAAATTTGCAATATTTCAATGTTGCAAATGAATTTCCAAATCGTTTCCACAGCATTGAAGCCATTATTCAGCTCTGTACACAGTTCCCTGCCCATAGTCCACCAATTTGAGTAGATGAGTCATTGAACCACTTTCATGACCTGACTGCTGTGCATGGCTGTCCAGAATGTGGCTTGTGGCTTCACATCACTGTCATCACTGCTGAAACGCACAACCTGTGGCTTCAGTATACCAACATAAATAGACTGGTTTGGGTTGGAAGGGACTTTTAGGATCATCTATGCCCAAATGCCCTGCTATAGGCAGGGAACGGGAGTATGCCCACAAAGGTAGGAAAAGCCTGAGCTTATTTTGTTCCTCACAGTGGTGGACACAAGTCTAACTAAGCTGCTGACTTCAGCTCTGAGAGTGGCACAGAGAAACCAGAGTAAGCACAGGATCTCTGAACGTCAAGACTAACAGTTTTGTAAGAAGGTATTTTGATTGTAAGAAGGTATTCTGATTGTCCTATGGGCAAAATAAAGAATCATTGTGCTTTAATGTTGTCAAGACCCTTTGACCTGGGCCTTATCTTCATTCTGCCTCTGGAGAAATGAAGGAGTGGAGGAGTGCAGACACGAGCAGAACCAACATCCATCTCTGCCTGCCATCCCTGAGAACCTCCTGCTTTGTTCCTACTTATCTTTCTCTCTATCCACCTCCCTCCCACCTGCCTTTACACAGCTCCACCTGGCTCCTCCTTCCAGCAGAGCTCGGCACACCTTTGGCAGCAATGCCGCTTCTGCTCTTCAAAGCAACAGTAAGAGGAAGGCAGAGAAGAGGATCCTTAGGCTCCCTGCTCTGACAAATTTAAACTAAAAGACCCCAGCAGCGATCTGTTGCTTTGCACAGACATTGCAGCTGCAGTCACCTGGCCTCCTGTTTTGCTGGCTGTTGTGCTAGGAGAGTCTTCACAATTTTGTTTAGAAGCCAAGGGTACAACTGCAGGGCTCAAGTAGTGGCTGCAGCGTTGATCTGGTGGAGGGGCTACACAAGGGCCCCTCTGTGTTCCTGGGGGATTTCATATGCCTCCGGGCCCTGTGCAAGCAGGGGGCCCACTGCCTTCTCTCAGGAGAGAGTGGGTAGCCCATGGCTTCTTTGCTTTCCATAAGCATTCAGATAGTGTCAGTGAATGTCAGTGGGCACAATTTTTTCCATAAATGGAATCAAATTATGCACCTTTGCTTCACACGCACTTCCAGGTCAGATGCCATTTTCTCAGACTGCCTCTCTGCTGTCAGATACTGCAGGGCAACAAAATGTAATGAGATATGGGAGGGAATACGAATTTGATCCAAGTGCATTTTGCCCTTCAAGACAAATACTTTGAATACAGGCCTAATTCCAGCGTATGTTTTATTTGTTGTATGGAAGCGTTAATGAGAAAAGGTTTAATGGCATTCACAGTTATAATGTTAGGGCTAGAACTTCAGCACACAGCCCTGGGTCATTTTGTAATTTGTGTGTTATGATGTATCTGCTGTTGGAAAAGAGCTTAGTACGTTAGGGGGTAGAGTGATACAGTAGGTATAATTACTTTTCTCATAACTTTATTAGAGAGGCATGGTCAGGTGCGATGTTGGCTGGAAATGCTGAGGAAAAAAAAAAAAAGAATTTGAGGAATTGAAACCCTGTTTTATGTTTTTCCATTTGAAGTTTGAAGGTGTTTTTGACAAGACTTGTTTGTTAGAGATGATATTCTGAGTTTTTTCTTACTGGAACAGAACCAAGAAACAGAATCATAGAATCACTCAGGTTGGAAAAGACCTTCAAGATCATCAAGTCCAACCACAACCCAAGCATACTACCCTCACTCTAACAACCCTCTGCTAAATCGTGTCCCTGAGCACCACATCCAAATGGTTTTTAAACACACCCAGGGATGGCGACTCAACCACCTCCCTGGGGAGCCTATTCCAATGCTTAACAACCTTTTGTGAAAAGAGGTTTGTCCTGATATCCAACCTAAACCTCCCTGGTGAAACCTGAGGTTATAAAGGAGGACTTCAGCATTCAGCTATCCATAACCTAAATTATCAGTGTACAGTGCTGAGTTCATTTTACTTCTGAAAGTGTTAAGATTAATAAAGTGAATAAATATTCACAATAAATAGTTTAGTATATCTTTTTGATAATTTGTGTGGTCTAATATTTGCTGCTGAGTCATAACTCTAGTTACATTACGCCCTGTATGAATGCAAACCAACGCTTGAAATGGACCAACTCATTTTTTGAAGACTAATCCTTTGTACCCCAAAGGGAGTGTTAGTATTTAGCTAATAAGTACCACTACTAGCTGTCAGTGGACAAGAAAAGTCAACAGAACTGTGGTCTTAGTAAGACAAATATTAAGAAACCTTATCCAATGTAAGAGTTTTAGCTGTTGAATTGGTCTTGTAAGGAATGCTTTTTAAAAACTTTAACAGAAATAGCATAGTCATTTCAAGGAACACAGCTGAAGAAAACAGTGTTCTGGTAATTTTGGTGAGAAACTACAAAGTTCTAGTAATGGTATGTATGCTTTAGTGTGATGATGTGAGAAGTCAGCAAGTATTTGAGGACATAGTTGTGTTTTGTTTTATGCAGAAAAGTTAACTGGACTATTTTCTCTAAGTACAGTGGGGCTAATTAAAGGATAAAAGCCAGTTTCCCTGACAATCTTGTGCTAAACTGATACATTTCATGCCTTGTGAAAATGTACAACAGCAAAACCAACCAAACGCTGGTGCGTGAGAAAGTGTGGAAAACTAGCCAGGCTGTAGGACTTGAAGCAACGTGGCTTTAATTATAATCTGTAGAGAAACAAAAATGGAAGCTGGTGGACAAGGTAAAATATTAGGTAAGAACAGTAGTTGTGAGTGAATTAACAGTTATTTTGGACCATGGAAGTAATTCTGGAGGACTGATGGACCATAGCTGTCTTTTGAATCTCTTATGATACCATTGCAGCTTCTGTCATAGTGTTGTGATAGTGTGGAGCCTATTGTATGAGGGAGTGATGAACACTGCAAGGATCTTTTTCAGGAATATTTTTAGTCTTATCTTCTTGAGGTAATTGGATGTACTTCTCTCCTGTTACAACCAGGATAGTACTGCTGTCAGGAGTCCTGTGTTTACAATAGGTTTGTTCTGGGACTTCAGGTTGGGAGAAGTGCCCTGGAAAGGATATAGTGAAGGACACAGGGAAGAGAGGACAGTTTATTTTTTTCTCCAGCTCTTTTTCAATTGTGTAGCAAAGAGGCTACATATATTTATTGTTACTGCAATTTGTAAGGCCAGATGAGCAATTTGGAGTTTCCAGTGTTGTGACAGTACGAGCACATTCTTGCATTGTATGGCTAGACACCAGTGAAAGTGATGATGTATTTGAAAAGGTGCTCCAGAGCTGGTCCGAGAATCTACAGCTGCGTGTGATTGGTACCTCAACAAGAAATAGAATAAACATGGCATATCATAGAGTCTCTGCAAATTTTACAAAATAATTCTTACAACTTTTTTTTTCTTCTCATAAGTTCCTGTCTCAATACTACTGAAGTATTTCCTTAGGTGTGGTCATAGAGTCCCTGTGCAACTGACTCATACCTTCTTGAACTCATAACTTCTTGAACATTGAAAGCCTAAGGCATCAAAAAACAACAATAAAAAAACCCAAGTTATTTTTAAAATAGTACAGCTACCTTAAGCAACCAGTGGCTTTTTCAGTGTGGTTGTTCCTTATCAGGTTAGGTATTTCATAGTTGTCCTGTTTTTGAAGTAGGAATTCGACTGCAGTTCCATTTGCTTCCTGGAATATTTTTAAAACAACATCCTGAGAATATCCTTTGTATGATGAACCTTGCTGATTTTTGTTTTGTTTTGTTTTCTGCTAGGAGATGGTGTTTCTAGGGAAAGTAGTCCGTTTATTAACAGTGCAGAGATGGACAGAGGAAACATGTACGAAGGTAAAAATATGGCTCTCTTTGAGGTAAGTTCTCATTTCGTTGTGTATGTGTCTGGATGCATGTTTTGTTTTGTAATTTATATATTACTATATATATATATATAGTATGTATATTTGCATTACATATATGCATTGCATTCAACCTCCCATTCTCTTGTTGTCCTTCTGTGCTCCTACCTTCTTTCTTCCAAAAATGTTAGCACAGAAAACATAATCTTTCAGTTCTCCTGTCGGACAAAAATTTCTGCACTGCTTTTCACTGAACTTTAGAGAAGATTGAACTAGGAGTCATTGATGTTTGTCATTAAATCTCTTTACCACTTATGACATTTCTTACTATTTTTTTTGACGGAAATCATGATACCAGAGTTTAGTCTCTGGATTTATCTCCTTCAAATTTGAATTCATAGATCAATATGCAAAACTACTTCTTGTTCAAATAAGATATTGTATTACTCACTGTTGACAAATTGTTGCTGCTGGTTTTTTTTTTTTTTTTTTTTTTTTTTTTGCTTTTTTTTCCCCCTTATTGTCCCTAATCATCTTTGAAATATATGCTTGCATTAGTTGTTTTCAACACATTGCTGATGTAGCGTTGGATTTTTTTGGTATCCTGTGTTCTGTAGTATATGTTTCCTAGAGTCTTAACATTTTCAGCTGACTTGTATTTGTAAAAGATCTTTAATAAGTTCAAAGAAGTTAGTTCAAAGAACTGTGTTGTCATGACCTAATACCTTCAGGCAAAGATTAGTTTTTGTATATTACTGTTTTCAGTTCCAATCTGTTGTCTTCCTCTCAGTATTTGATCCTGCGTGCTTGACTCAATCTCCTAGTTCTGCTTCTCTTGGTATCCTTTTATTGGTGTGTTTCTTTAGGATTTTATTATTGTTTTCACCATGCTTTGGTTTTGTAGCAGGTATTTGGCTGAAGAAAGATCAGCTTGCTTCTGTGTCAAATAATATTACATATATTTAATTACATCTTATGTGAATATGTTCCAAAGCATACATTTGTTCAAAATATGTACATTGTTTTAAGAGTAGTCCATATGGATCATGGTTCTGGAGAGCCTGAAGGTGCTTAAGAAAATTATCTAAGGCTACTTTTAGGGGTTTTTTTTTTCCAGCATTCAGTTTGTGTCTAAATGTCATGACCCTGCCACTGCAATATAGGGAGGGACAGCAATATAATCATGTAGCATTCAACTATAAAGATTTACTTTTGTTCTTTGACATGACTGGTATTTGGTCATGCTAGTTTTCAGATTAGAATGATTCAGGAATAACCTGTTGAGTGTATGTTTGAAGTAGTACCATAGAATCATAATTCAAGTTTTTATTATATGCAGTTTTCTTAAAATCCTGACAGGAGGAAATGGATAGCAATCCAATGGTGTCATCTCTTCTTAACAAACTAGCAAACTACACAAATGTGACTCAAGGTGTGGTGGAACATGAAGCAGATGAAGATAGCAAGCGAAAGGAAGTCAAGGTATCTGAACTTCTGATAGGTTACAACAAAGCTAGCCACATAAAGAGAAATATTTTTTAGCCTAAAAAGAAATCACACAATTCTCTAAAAACAGAAGAGAGAAAAGCAGAAGTGTTCATTGATCTTGCTAGTGTGTTTTAGCAACACATTGTTGTAGAAGTTCCATATGAAATGTATGTAAAACTCAGAACCAAAACAAGTATTACGTGCATCTCAGTTCCCTCTTAATTTTGTTCCCTTCTGTCCTTGTATTAGCAACAGTAACTTTGTTTTACCTTTGGTGAGGATACAGTTTGACATTCTTCTCATTTGATGGTTTATTGATACATTTCAGTTGGCTGGATTGTTATCTGAGGTTGAAATTAGAAAAAACTTGAAATGGAGCAAGCCACTTTTTATGATCAGAAGTGTATTTGCTTCTTAATATGGCAGCGGATTTTTTGTTTGTTTTGTTTTCTGTATTAGGTCTATTGTTCCTGTGTTTGGAGGAGGCTCTCTAGCATATTTGCTTGAAGAGAGCAACTAAGATCTCCAACGGTTGTCTGCTGGGTGCCCCAACTGCCTATCTATGCCTTTGTATGAGAGGAACATAAGCAACCTTGTCAGGCTATAATAAGATACTATGTTGAACCTTCTATGAGCAGGAAGCTGTCTTAGAAGAAGAAAGCCAGGATCAAAACCATGTATAACACAAAACTGCAGTCAAGGAGGGATGATGAGCTGTGACTGGTAGGGCATGAAAGCTGAATGAGGGAAACTTAGGGTAGGTACTGGCAGAATGAGAGTACTGGCAGTTATTCGTCTTTGAGTTTCTACTGATCTTATATTCTGAGCTATGAAGGAAGAAGGAAAAGCAGATGAGAAAGAATAGAAGGAAAGAAGCACCTGGGAAGACGGATACAAAAAGGTGCTTGGAATTAAGGTTATAACTGGAATTTATTTTACTGGAGGAGGGATTTATAGTATTGTACCTGAATACTTGCTCTAGAACTGTTTTTGTTAAGACTTGACTGCTACTGGGAGTTGTTGAGACAATGTTGTGGCTTAACCTGACATGTAGCAAAGCACCATGCAGTCATTTGCTTATTACCCCTGCCCCCTCCAACCCCACATCCCCTCAACTGCTCCCAGTGGCATGAGGGAAAGAACTGGGGGAGGGAGGATAAGAGGGTGTGGAGTAGAACTCGTGAGTTGAGATAAATATTCTTTTACCAAGACAGAAAAGGAAGAGGAAAGGTAGTAGTAGTATTAATAGTCATATATGCACAAAACAAGTGGTGTACCAGCCACCCACTGATGTCCAGCTAGTTCCCAAGTAGCAGCTGCTCCCCTAGACATCTTCTCACTAATTTTCAAGAGGTTTTTTTTGTGTGTATGTGTGATGTCATATGGTATGGAAAATCCCTTTGGTTAGTATAGGTCATCTGTCCTGATTCTGTCTCCTCCCAAATCCTTGTGTCCTCTCAGCCACCCTCACCGGCAAGGCAGTACAATAAGCTGAGAAACTGAAATGTTCTTGGCTCCATGCGTATGCTGCATACAGCACTGCTCTGCAACAAATAAAATAGTGCTCTGTTATCAACATTGTTTGTCTCTTAAAGCCAAAACGTAGCATCATACCAGACACTACAAAGAAAAAAATCAGCTCCTTCCCAGCTGAAACCAGGACAGACAATGATCAAGGCTGTGGAATAAAGTCCGTAGCCTTTTGCTGTTCTTCACTTGTTTATCAGTTGTAGTTTCTTGTTCAGTTTTGGCTTTTGTTAATGCAGCCCAGTGTTAGCCCGTCTAGAACTAACTGGCCAAATGAACACTGTATTTACTTGCAGTATATCAGCTTGTGTCCTGAAAGCATGATTTGTGTATTTCTTTTTGTGTTTTCTTTTTACCCTTTGGTGTCTGAAATTAATTGAGATTAAGCAATTGTCTGGTAGAGTAGAATTTTAATGGCATAATATAGTACTGGAATACTTCTACTATATGAAGAGACTGAGGCAACTAGTCAGACTGGAGAAGAGGAAACTTGTGGGGATCTAATTTATACACAGTGATATCTGAAGGGAAGTTGCAAAGAGGATGGAGCCCTGTTCTCTTCAGTGATGCCCAGTGCCAGGACAAGAGGTAGTAGACACAAATTGGAAAGCAAGAGTTTCTGTCTAAAACTCAAGAAACACTTTGCTGTACAGGTGAGAAAGAACTGACACAGAGCAGTAGTTGTAGAATCTCCTTGGAGACCTTAGAAGCTGTATGGACGTGGTCCTGGGCAATTTGCTCTGGGTGTCCCAGCTTGAGCAGAGGGTTTGGACCAGGTCACCAGCAGAGGTCCTTTTGAACATAACTGTTCAGTGATTCTATAGTAACTGAGCTTGTATACAACATCAATGTTACCAACATTATCCAGTGTGCTAAAAAATAAAGATAGAAGTCTGTATGGCATTGTGTCCTTTTATGTACTTGGAAATCTAGTGCAACCCTTGCTTGCTGTTTTAAATTGGCTGCATTTTTTACAGCCTGAGTTGTGATTTAAGATGAACTTCTGTACCTGGAGACCTAGTATGTATATTTATTGCTTCCAAGTTGAGTATTTCAACAGAAAAGGCTGACATTCATGAAGTGCAGAAGGTTAATGGTGAGGCCTGAATGGTTCTGTTGTCTTTGCTTCCAGGTTCCACGAATGGGCACATTTATTGGTGTGTATCTCCCTTGCTTGCAAAACATCTTGGGAGTTATTCTTTTCCTGCGTTTGACATGGATTGTAGGAACAGCTGGAGTTCTTGAGTCTTTCATCATTGTTTTCATGTGCTGTGCTTGTGTAAGATAATCTTTTTCTTTATTATTGATCAGTTTACTATTCTGTTACCAGAATACAGCTGCTTTCTCTTGTATGAACAAACATTACAAGCTTTTTCCTTAAGATAAATTTCTCTATAAAGTAATAATAATTTTTCTATAAAATTTCAGAACAATTGGGAGATACAGGATGGGTCTTCTATAACATTTAAATGTATGCACTGAATGTCATGTGTCCTTTCAGCATATATTGGGTTTTCTGTGATCCAGTGATAGTAAGTTTTAGCTTGAAGTATTTAATGGATTCTACTCAACGAGCAAATATTTCATGATACACATTGTATCACATTGAGACCTGAAGTCTTCCATTATTATTATTTTTTTTTTAACAACTTTTGAACAAACCAAAACATAAACTACTGGCATTGTGTCTGTAAATTCATTTTGGGAAACCAACAGTAGATGAATTCATCATAGCTGTGATAAATTGGAATAAAGAATATTTTAAGTACATTCTCAGTGGTCTGTACTCATCTATTTGAAGGCTGTCTGAAGCATCTAAACTTAGTCATCATGTAGAAGGTTCTGTACTCCATTTACATGGAAATATCTAACCAAAGATGATCAGTTTTAGTTGCTACGAAGTTTTATTAGTAAATTCTTAAGTGCTTTTGATCACTGTCTTGTCCCATTTTCAAAATACTTTAAATTTGTTTTGTTTCATCTTTCTGCAGACTATGCTAACTGCAATTTCAATGAGTGCAATAGCAACAAACGGTGTGGTTCCAGGTAATCAATATTTTTTTTTAATCTTAGACAAAAAATGGTAAAATGATAAATAATCAAATCTGAGATAATTTGCTGTAGTATTGAAATCATAGAATCATAGAATCATAGAATCACCAAGGTTGGAAAAGACCTGAAAGATCATCCAGTCCAACCGTTCACCTATTTCCAATAGCTCCCACTAAACCATGTCCCTCAACACAACATCCAGCCTTTCCTTGAACACCCCCAGGGTTGGTGACTCCACCACCTCCCTTGGCAGTCCATTCCATTTATCATATGAACTGTTAGAAGTAGTACTTGGAGTATTGTTTCAGGTATCTTATAATTGACTTTTTAAGGTGAGATGCTGCTCTCTACCTAGACCTTCCAGGAGCTGTAGCACATTTTTGTTATCATCAATTATTTGATTCTGTTGAATGAAAGATATCATAATTTGAGCTAATGAAGATTGATTTTCTAAAGAAATTTGTTCTGCCTTAAATTTACAAATAAAGTGCTTTTTTCCCCCTGGAATTGCCCCTAGATTACTTTTTATTTATTTACTAACGTCTGAAACAGTTTGGTTTTCTGCAAGAATAATAGCCAGCATACTGGTAATAATCTCCTCCTATATAAGCATTTTAGGTTATGCTCGTCTCATTTACCTTTTCAGGACAAATTTGCCTGTTAAATCGTTCCTCTTCAATTATGAAACAGATGTTTTCAACACAAAATCAGTTTGCTTTTGAAGCTCTTCTAATCCTTGGTTTTCAACAAGTTAATTGAAAATATCAGTATTCTGATGTTATGGACCCTGTACAGATGCTTACATTAAATTTAAAAAATTGTATGTATATATACATAAAAATAAATTTTAAATTAATTAATGAATTAATACTCAGTTTTAGAGCTTTTCTAGCTTAGTAAGGTTCCAGAATGGATGCGTAAGTTGTTGGGCAAAATTAAACACTACAATTTGTGCAGAATCTTGAATTCCAGTACTTGAAGGAGGCCTCTAGGAAAGCTGGGGAGGGATTTTTTATAAGAACATGTAGTGAAAGGACAAGGGGTTTTGAACTGAAAGAGGGTAGATTTAGACTGATATAAGGAAGAAATTCTTCACTGTGAGAGTGGTGAGACGCTGGAACAGGCTGCCCAGCGAGGTTGTGAATACCATCTCCTTGGAAGCATTCAAGACCAGGCTGAATGGGGCTTTGTGCAGCCTGGTTTAGAGGGAGGTGTCCCTGCCTGTAGCAGGGGGCTGGAGCTAGATGATCTTAAAGGTCCCTTCCAACCCAAACCATTCTATGATTCTGTTTCACAGATGTAGTACAGTATGTGAAATATAAATGCAGTAAGAATTTTTTTCAATTGTTTTTGTTTTATAATTAAGTATAGTTATCCGAGTTACTGTTCATCTCTTTTTCCCTCTTATTTTTCAAGTTTGTTGGACTAGTATTCCTGGAACATGTGGAAGGGACAAAGTACCTACGATTGAAAGGAATAATAATAAATAAACTTTTTATTCATTACTTTGGCATTATGAGTATCGAACTTACTGCTTTTCTTCATCACTTTCAGTGATTTTGTTGCTTTTTAAGTTAAAAAGCAAGTGTTAGTAGCAGTGAATCTGTTTAAGCTGTTCATTGCATCTGTAAACTGGAAACTAATATTTGTTATTCACTTTTCAAAGGAGAGCAGAGAAAGGTTTTTGGTAAACTTCATCGGTATTCATCCTCCTTTTTATTTCCTTCCCTTTGTAAAATCTCTAGCTCTGAAAAAAACATCCAGCTTTGTTTAAGGAAAGCCTGAAGGTTTTCGGTATGTCTGATTAGACAGTTGTCATGCTGTCCTTTCTGGTTTTATTAAGTACTAATCAGTAAACTAAATCAATTTACAGTCTTCCAATAATATTCTCCTGTGGTTCTACAGAGTTCCAGTAATCTTGCTTCACTGTAAATGTTTTAGAATAAAAAATATTGGATCTTATGACATAAGGAACTCTTTAATTCATAATATTTTTAAGGCAATGTTTAAAAACTGTAAATGAAGAATCTGCTTTTTTAATTAATAAATTTCCTATCCTAAAATTCTATCTGCCATGAAGAACTATTGATATTCCCATTGTGCTTTTTTGTTTTTGTTTGGCATAGTGATATTGCATCTCAAAATATATGTATTTTTAGCTGCTAGAACATCTTCCTGGAGCCTTATGTTTTTTGCAGGTTCTGAAAACACAACTTACTCAGCCTTTCTTCGTAGAGTAGGTGCTCCAGCCCTCTGGTCATCTTCATTGCCATCCTCTGGACCCTCTCCAACAGGTTCATCTTTCTCTTGCTGGGGATCCCAGAGCTGAAGGCAGCATTGTGGGGTTCTCATAGGGATGGAATGTAAGGGGCAGAATTTCCTACCTCAGCATGCAGATCATGCTTCTTGGTTGCAGCTCAAGATATGGTTTCTAAGCTGGAAGCACGCATTGCCAGCTCATGTTTGGCTCTTTATCTATCATTACCCCCAAGTCCTCTGCAGGGCTGCTTTCAATATTTGGTCTTGTTGAACTTCATGAGATTCACAAGGCCTCACTTCTAAGCCTGTTCAGATCCCTCTGGATGACATCCCTTCCCTTCAACATGTTGACTGCAACACTGTTTTGAGTTTGGCAAACTTGCTGAAAGTGTATTCAATCCCACTACGTCACCAACAAAGATATTAAATAGTAACAGTCCTATACTGACCCCTGAGGAACACCAGGCATCACTGGTCTCCACCAAGACACGGAGCTATTCACTGCAACTCTCTGAGTTTGAGTGTGGCCTTCAGCCAGTTCTTTATTCACTGAGTGGTCAATCGATCAAATCCATGTGCTTCCATTTTCAAAACATGGATGTTATGTGAGACGGTGTCAAATGTTTTGCACAAGTCCAGATAGATGATGTCAGTAGCTCTTCCTTTATCCACCAGTGCTGTCACCTCATTGTGGAAAGCAATCAAATTTGCCAGGTATTATTTTCTCTTAATGAAGTCATGTGTGCTGTCGCCAGTCACCTTTGTGTATTCCACGTGCCTTACCATAGGATCTGCTTCATGATCTTGCCAGGCACAGAGGTGAAAATGATTGGCTTGTAGTTCTCCAGATCTTTTTTTTTCTCTTTTTTAAAATGGGGGTTATGTTTTACCTTTTCAAGTCTCTGAGACCCCTACAGTGACCCCTTTAACAGACTGCCATGAATTTTCAAATGTAATGAATAGATGCACAGGAAATTTATCCGCCATTCCATGAGGACCTTCATGTCCATCTCATCAGGTCCCTCAGACTTGTGCATGTTAAGGTTCCTGAAGTGGTCTTGTGCCTGATCTCCTACAGCGGGCAGTTCTTTATTCTCTCAGTGTCTGCCTTTGCCTTCTGTGAAGACTGAGTCAAAAAAAACTCTGAGTACTACCTTTTCTATGTCTGGGTAACCACGTCTCTCAGTTTCTTCAGGAGAGAGCTTACATTTCCCCTAGTCTTTCTTTTTATCACTTATGTACTAGCTCTTCAACAGATTGACACCATTGGTCCCTACTAGACCAGGTTTCCCAAAGAGTACCACAGTCTAAAAAGCCATATCCTTGGCCATATCACTTGTCTGGCAACTATGAATTGATCTGCCAGATTGTACTGGTCTTCTTAAAGTCTTTTCTTTTGATTGGTAGGATTGAAAAGATCATTTATACTCCAGGGCCTCTTGACACTGTTCCAAGGGTTCTATAGTCCTTCATGATACACTTTGGATGTTCTTGACAGTGTTGTTGGTGCTGCATAAAATAACAGCCATGGATAGTGGTTCTGCAAGCTGTACAAGGCTTGGTAATTTCTTGGTAACATCTATAGTACTTATATAGGCTCATGGTAAGAGACATACCTCTCATGTGAGTGGGTCAGGGTAGCAAATTGATGCCTTTGTACCTCTCAGAAAAGAGTCAGCTACAGCTATCACCTGTCATATTTTCTTCTTTGCACTGGTTGTTTAGCAGTCTGTAGTGCCACAATCAACTACTTTGCTGAGGACCAAGCCGGCACCAGAACTGACTGAGTATTGGCATTTATTAATGAGAACAGAAAAACATTGCAGGACTTCTGTGCAACTGCTTGATATATGATGAATTATTTGTGTAGTATAAGACAAAAACTGCGAACATCTTCATTTCCCAGTTCTAGCTGTCTAAAAAAAAAAAAAAGCTTACTGATTTTAAGTGATTAGAATGTTGTAATTTTATTTTCATTTCTTTAGCAAGAAATGGTCTTAGGCAAATAACCAACAAAACTGGCTAGTATCTCTTTACTTTTCAATTTTTAATTGGTTTTTTTTTTTTTTTTTTTTTTGCTTTAATTCTGATGGATGAACCTAATGCTTAAAATGTTTGGGTAGCTGATGTTTTGAAAACACTGCTTTTGTGAAAATGCATGTGATGATGTGCACCTCAAAGTGTACATTCTAACAGCACATTTGGTGTAAACATCAAATACAGGTTTGGTAAGAACATTTTAATGGAGATGCATGCAGAGATTTTCTCAAGTACCTGGGCTGATTGAATGACAGAATGTTTTGATCTCTACTGCTTTTATTAATCTGAAAAGTTGGAATCTTCTTGGTTAAATTCACAGCTGGAGGCTCCTATTACATGATTTCAAGATCTTTAGGACCAGAGTTTGGTGGAGCAGTGGGACTTTGTTTTTACCTGGGTACAACCTTTGCAGGAGCCATGTACATTCTTGGTACCATTGAAATCTTATTGGTAAGTACTGGTTTCTCGTAAGTCTATTTTCAGTCTATTTTGAGAGATCACTGAGCATTGTCTAAATGTAATAATCACAGATAAGTTATAATGACACCTAAAATGTATTCTAGTCCGATTTTTGAATGCTTTGGTACCACATTTGTAGTACGTCAATATTCCAGTTCTTCTTATGAATATTTGAAGAAGTTCAACAAACTTTGATTTGTGGAGCTGACTCTAGCCCAGCGATAATAATAAATGATGATAATAAATTTATGATCATGAAATTATGATCAGTATTTAAACAGTTTAACATTTTTTCCCCACTTAAATTAGGAACAAAACAGTTCAGTAAGTGACTTTAAGTCACTTAAATCACATTAGACAGTAATTTTACCAAATGGGATGTATCTCTTTGCTACCTCTTCATAATATGCTCTGGATAAAAAAAGAATTCTTCAGATTATGTTCATGCTACTGTAGTCTTATATAGTTCAAGGAAAACTACTCATAATAGTAAGATTTAGTTTTGGAATTTCTGGTGTAGGAAGAGAAGAATGAGCAATAGCTTGTTCTTTGTGTGGGTATCAGACACTACAGTGTGGCATCCTCTTTGCAATCTGTACCTGTCACATGGAAACATACTTGTTGTGTTCCTTGTCTTCCTCTGTTTCTTATTGTTTTTTCTTGTCTGGCAAAGACAAATTTATGAGAGGCAGAAACTGTTAGAAAACAGATAAAAAGCTGGACCAAAAGCTGTGTCTCTTTCTCAGTATATCCACTCTGTTTTGTCCTCTTATTTCATCTTCACCCTTGTTCCTTTCCCACTTATATAGGATGCTCATTCAGCTTTATGATTTTCTGATAATACCACTTTCTATACATGTTGGTTTTCAAAGTAATTTATCTAAAAAATGTAGTTGAAAAATGGGAGTGGCACGTAATTAAAGCCTCATTGCACTTTAAACCTGAGTTTCTTACAATGCCTCTATACTAGGAAAAATCTTGAAAATAACTTTTTGTTGTTTCATTATGCCAGACACATGTGAGGATATTTGTTTCTGCTCTTTCTTCACTAAATAACCATGCCATCTGGTTGAACTTCTTTGTGAAGTAAGAAAACTGCCAACTGTAGTAGTTTAGATTTTAAAGTTCAAGTAAATTTAGTTCTGCATAAAATGATTGTTATTACATGAAAGGCAATTTCCGTATCTCCTGCAGACTTACATTTCTCCAAGTGCCGCCATATTTAAAGCAGAAGAGGTTGGTGAAGAAACAGAGGCCATGCTGAACAACATGAGAGTTTATGGAACGTGTATTATCATTCTGATGGCCATAGTAGTTTTTGTGGGAGTCAAGTATGTCAACAAACTTGCACTAGTCTTCCTTGCCTGTGTGATTCTATCCATCATTGCCATATATGCTGGAGTTATTAAGACTGCTATTGACCCACCCGACTTTCCGTAAGTAACATATCATTAAATAGTATAGATTATTATTTAAAAAAAAAAAAGTAGGGGGAAAGAATAGCTACTACAACCAAGTTTTAAGCTAAACTTAAAAATATGCTCACACTGATCTCAGTGGAAGGTTTCATATCTTTATGAGGCACTTATGTGATCTTCTGTTATCGCGAACTACCTATTTGAATCTTTGTAAGTCATAACTTTGGAAAATGTTCTTTCATGCTTAATGTTACTTAATGTTTTTAGCCACTGTTCTTTTCATACCTACGTGCAAAAGTGGTCTTGCTGACAGTAAATATAGTTGCTTTATCTAATCAATTAAGAAATGAAGTATACAGAATAAAGTAAAATCTTCAAGGAAATGTTGTAACTATGAATGGGAGGTAGCGTACTTTAAAAATTTGTCATGAACTTTTTGAGACTTCTATTCACCCTATCCAAAATAGAAGCTTTACATTATTCGATTCACTTGCTTTACACAAAAACTTTTCTACCTTTTTGTTACTAAAGTCTAGTTTTGTTGTCACACATGGCATGTTGTTTCTCAACATCTTTATCTTGTACCTTTCTTCAGCTCACTGAAAATGTGTTTGGTTGTCCAGTTACCAGTATGCTGGTTTTGTTTTTGTGCATCTCTTCCTGCTTGGAGAGCAAAGAACAGTACTGCTTAAAACAGTAGTGGAAGAGATGAGAGTTGCTGTAGTGCATTGCCACCTGTTATGTCAAACTGATCCTTTGCTATACGGTTGATGCAGAATTCCATAGTAATCTAACGTGTTAATGGTTGCTGCTTAAATTGAGCAGTTAGGCAGTATTTTTGGACTGTACTGTAAAAGATAAACAGAAACCTTTCTGTTGGCAAATAAAAATATGTTCAAATTTGACACTTCTCTGAAGAAAACTTGAATTTCTCAGAAACTCAAACTTCCACTAGGGAAATATTTAAATCTTTTATTTGTCTGTATAGGTAAAAGAGGGATTCTCTGGGTATGTAGCATTGGTAAGACTTATTACCAAATTTCTGGAAACTGCTTCTGTGATACATTACTATTTGGAAAAAATATTAAACAAAGCTTATCTTTCTATAAATAGAATTGTTCACATTTTGGTGAATCTGCCCTAAAAGAAGAAACTCAAATGTGGTTTCACATTATAATAAAGCTATGAGTAGGTCACCAAACTCACCGTCATACAGCAAGTTGGTGTAGGTTTGTAAAAATAGTTTTCTAGCTTCTAGTCTAACATTTGGACATTTTATAAAAACACCAGTTTCCCTATTCACTTAGCTATGTCTATCACCTCATTCCATCTCTGTTAGTTGTAGGCGTTTTGTAGATGGTGAAATACTGTGCTTTATTAGCTCACATCATGATCTTACAGCCAAATCGAACTGGAAGAAGTTTCTAGAGGTTGAGTAGTTAACCAAATCCAATAGCAAAAATACTAAACAAGGAAGATCATTCTCTTTAGCAGTGGGCTTTCTGTTAAATCTGCTTGATCTCCATGGATTTGCAGCTGTACCTGGAGATGTACTGGTGTCCTGTAAATTTCCCTTCTTGTACTTTTCACTGGTATCAGAAACAGGAAGTAAAAAACTAAGCTAAGTAAACATACTGCATGACTTAGCATACTTGGCCTGATAGCAAATGCTATGTTTATGCTGTTTGTTACCAGATTCCTGAACTTCTTCAGAAGTACCAGATGTTTACTGCCTATGTGCTATATCTTACCTGCCTAACTCTGATGCTTTATTTGATCATTCCTCGTTTCATCTTCATAGATGCAATGAGCCACTTTATTAAACAAGCCTGGGGGAGATATCTCTTGAATGTCTTTTGCATAGCTTAACAAAGGGTTAACAAAAGTAGGTAGTAGGTGTTTAATGTTCTTTGTTAATAACCATTTGCTTTTTGCAAAATATTCCTAGTTTTCTGAGAGTCGTAATTGCTTCTTGCATAGAACTATATAATAGTTTGAGCTATGAGTTCAGTGTTTTTAAACTTTACTCTTTTCCTGGCTTACCTCCTTAGCTGTTAATCTAAAGAACTTACTTCTTGGAAAAGTGCACGACTGTTGCTTAATTTTTCTTTTGTATTTTTTTTGGTCAAACTTGTCACTGCATTATAAATCAAATGACTTCATTTCACTTTTTTTTTTTTTTTTTTTAATAGAGGTCATGATATATTCAGTCCTATTATTTAGTGGTCAAGCTGCTTGAATTTGTTATATTTTCCAAAGAATAATCAGAAAGCATAGAAGCTGTCTTAAAGTGGAAATGTTTGACTGGTATTTTAAATGTTACTGATGATGGTTTTATATGGAGAGACTCTTCTGCTTTAGTAGATGTTGTACAGCCCAAAACATAAGTGCTATAAATACTGGATTTCTGAGGAAGTCTAATGGATTAAAAAATGCTTAAATGCACACTATTATGCTGAAGAAACACTGTTTGTTTTGTTTTGTTTGTAGCATCTGTCTTCTTGGAAACCGTACCTTGTCAAAGCGCAGCTTTGATGTCTGTGCCAAATTTACTGAAAGGAATAATGAAACAAAGACCACAAACTTGTGGCTGCTCTTCTGCAATAGTTCTTTGCCTACTGCTATGTGTGATGACTACTTCAGCCTCAATAATGTAACAGAAATTCAAGGGATTCCAGGAATACTGAGTGGAGTTCTAATTGGTAAGTCAGAAAGCACAGTGATCTGTGCTGATTCGGCCTGAAGCTGTGCAGTAATGTAGTATTTTAGCCTGTCACTACTCCTTAGTAATAATCTACTTGTGTTGAAAGATTGCTTCCTGGAGTCTACTTCCTTCTTTAACATTTCCGTCTGGTTTTGGAAGCTTAATATGAATTGCTTTCATATGGGGATCATTAAGGTTTTATGGGCACTCTTTCAAAAGCTATTTTTCTATCACATCAAATTCAGTTATTTCAAAATCCCGTGAGGGAGAACTTCTTTCCAATTTACAGATGGCATGTTGAGAAGTAAAGTCCTGTTGTTTGTCCAACAATGTACAGCATGCCAGTTCAGGAAAAAATAAAGTTTTTCTAGCTATCAGTCTAGCATTTGGACAGGAGACTTTCTACAAAGTGTGTAGAATATCTTATGTTTATGTTTTTATACAATTGTGGCTGCTTTAGGTTTAAACGGGTTCATAAATTTCATTTTGAACATGTAATGGATAGTATTGTATAGGAACAAATAATGTTTATGAGGATGAGAAGGACGTTCTGATTCCTGTCCTCCACGTTCCCTTAGAATAGAATTTGATTATAGAAATATGCAACTCTCTGTAAAGAGAGATAGGGGCACTAAGTAATATTATTACTGCCATAGTAACTCAATTTAAAAGATTAAACATAAAGTGTACAAATACACATTCAGTTCCAGCTGAAATGTAGGCTGCTTTGTGTCTGAATTTTTATATAAACTCACTCAGCTTCCTCAGAATCAAAGATGAAATCCTGCTTTTGACTAAAATGCTTTTTGCAAGAAGTGTGACTTGGGATTTTATTTACTGTATGCATTTTGTAAGTTAGTACATATATCTTTTTTTCTTAAATGTTACGTATCTCTTCTCATGCTACTTTACATTCCCTCCGTATGCTCAGAAAACAGTCTTGTATTCTAAGCTTTGAACAGCTGTGGTTTTTTTTTGTAATACAGTACTACTGTATAAAAGTGCATTTCATTTTCCTGATGTCACATAAAGCCAAGATCTCTAACAACCATTATGAGTCTGCTGAAAGCTCAGTGTAAGGGAAAAACTTTCCAGTGTTCGTTGTTTGACACTTACCTATGGATAAATTTCATCAGTTTCTTTACCAGGCTTGATGACTGAGTAGAAAGTTTTTGCGTAGTTCTTTGCAGGTGGCTTTTGCATTCACCACCTTTGCATTGGAAAGCACAGGTTACATCCTGGTACCATTTCTTGGGGAAGTTTACTGGTGGGTTTCCTGAGCTTTTGGCTTTTCTAAACCTTTGACAGTGTCCCCCACTACATTTTCGTGGAGAAGCTGTGTGCCCATGTTTGGCATGGTTGGGATGGGCGTACACTCTGCTGGGTGAAACACTGGCTGGATGGCCGGGTCCAAAGTGTTGTGGTCAATGGAGTTAAATCCAGTTGGCAGCCGGTATCCCCCAGGGCTTGGAACTGGGGCTGCTTCTATTTAACACCTTTATTAATGATCTTGATGAGGGGATTGAGTGCACCCTCAGTAAGTTTGCAGATGACACCAGGTTGGGAGGGAGTGTTGATCTGCCAGAGGGTAGAAAAGCATTACAGAGGGACCTGGACAGAATGGATCAAAGGGCCAAGTATGAGTTTCTGTATGAGTTTTCTGTATGAGTTTCAATAGGGCCAAGTGTCAGGTCCTGCATTTTGGTCACAACAACCCCAGGCAACCCTACAGGCCTGGGGAGGAGTGGCTGGAAAGCTGCTTGACACCAAAGGGACCTTGGTGTACTGATGGACAGTGGGCTGAATATGAGCCAGCAGTGTGCCCAGGTGGCCAAGAAGGCCAATGGCATCCTGGCTTGGATCAGAAATGATGTGGTGAGCAGCACCAGGGAAGTCATCCTGCCCCTGGACTCGGCACTGGTGAGGCCTCAGTTCAAGTACTGTGTTCAGTTTGGGGCACCTCAGTACAGAAAGGACACTGAGGTGCTGGAGCAGGTCCAAAGAAGGGCAGCAAGGCTGGTGAAGGGCTTGGAGAATATGGCCTGTGAGGAGAGACTGAAGGAACTGGAGCTGTTCAGTCTGGGAAAGAGGAGGCTGAGAGGAGACCTAATTGCTCTCTTCCAATATCTGAAAGGTGCTTACAGCGAGAGTGGGGCTGGTCTCTTCTCATCTGGTGACAGGTAACAGGACGAGGGGAAACGGCTTTAAGTTGCACCAGGATTAGTTTAGGCTGGATGTTAGGAATCACTTCTTTACAGAAGGGGTTGTTAAGCACTGGAATAGGCTCCCCAAGGAGGTGGTTGAGTCACTATCTCTGGGTGTGTTTAAAAACCATTTGGATGTGGTGCTCAGGGAAATGATTTAGGGGAGGGTTGTCAGAGTTAGGGTAGTATGGTTAGGTTGTGGTTGGACTTGAAGGTCTTTTCCAACCTGAGCAGTTCTATGATTCTGTGAGCTGTAAAACTGAATATACACTTAATTTTACCTGTTGTTTTTTTGTCTTTGAACCACTTTAAAATACATGTGAAATCTTTTATTCCATGTCCATCTTAAGCTTTTTTGCCCAAGGAATCTGTCAGAAACAAATGGGAAGTCTAGATGGGCTAAATTCAGAAATCTACTTCAGGTATGTTTCTACCAAGGAACTTAAGTAATTCTGAGGTACAATCTTTCTTTAACAAAAGCTGTGCTAGACTTCCATGGTTCCTCAAAACTCAAAATAAAAACTTATTACATTTGAATTCAGAAGTAATACCTATGTGTGTCTTACTTTTATTCCTTGCTGTTGTTGCTGCCAGTTGTTCATTTGCAGATGCTGCTTTCAAGTTGACCCTATGCTTGCCATACTTTAACACTTGGGTAGCAATGCAGTTTCAGCACATTTTTAGCAGCACAAGTCCTTTGGTATTCTTGGATAAACAGTGTTGTGCTTGCTGAGTGTGAACATGAGTTCTGATACGTAATATTAGCTGGAACTCAATGCATAGCAAAGATTTCTCAAATGAACTCTTTCTGCACTGGTGGTTTATTCACTTTGTTCAAAGACTTGCTGTAGTTTGTTTGTACTCTGCATGCTGTAGTTGGGAATTTGAAGGTGTTGCCTCATTTTCTGTTACTCAAATGTTTGCTGAAAATCCTGAATTTCAGTTTTCTTGTTTTCCCTAGCTCTTGCTTTTATGTGTCTTCACCTGTACATTAGTTTGTTCTTCATTTCAATGAAATAACATGTGTAGTTGCTTTGTAGCAATTCATGTTTACCTTTCCTTTTAACCATAACTCTTCTCTTGCTTACAGTTTTTTCTCATGCATGATTCCATTTATTATTATTTCATAGCAGTTATAATAGTTCTTGGGCAAATCTGAATCTTTGGCTCCATAGGAGATTGATTTTGATTCTGAATCTTCATATTGTGTTGAAGGTAACAAAGACTTATTTTAGAATGAGATCTGTGTTTAAGTCCTTACCATCTTTTTGAGGGGCATAATTAACATTTTCCCAAATGTAAACTGTTGGAAGCTACTAGTTTATTGACCTTCGTTATGCAAACATTCGTAGTTTATATCTGGGGGAATGTGGACCATTACCTGTAGTTTGTGTGTGTTGCTTTTGTTCGTTTAAATTTCCTTTGTTCATTGGTCCTCTTCTGGAGTTTGACTAATGGCCATTTGGAATACCTTCATTGTGAACAGCCAAATCTTGAGCTATTGTCCAAATTTCCTTAATCTGGAGATTAAAAAAAATTTTTTTTTCCCTTACTGCTATACTTTTTATGTTTTTTAGAACACTATAGCTGGTAATACATCCATACGTTTGTATAATCTAAGTGGATGTTCTAGAATATGTTAGAATTTAATTCTGTAACTCAGTCTTTAATAGAAGAAAATTTTTTACAGCGTATCCCATGTACCACTACATCTCTACTGGCATCCAATGGAAATGTCCACCAGTTATGACTGATACTGATGTTATTGCTGCTGTGTCTAAATTTCATAAAGAAGCATTGGGAAATGTCATGCTTTTTATAGATGAAAAGTCATCCATCTTACAAGGGTACTGCACTCTCTCTAATATTCTGAATCAGAGGCTACAATGGCTATTTCCCCCCCCCCTTTGTAGATAACCTGTGGAGCACCTATTCGGAGAAAGGATCAATAGTTGAGAAAAAAAGTCAGCCATCAATTTCTGGATCAGAAGACATAAAAATTGGTGGACGCCCTTATGTTTTCACAGACATCATGACCTACTTCACAGTGCTTGTAGGGATTTATTTCCCATCTGTAACAGGTAGACTAAAACTGTTTTTCTTGAATGAGAATGTGTGTTTATAGCTGAAGAAAAAAATTTGGTGTGAATATTGATGATACATGGAATTCCTTATCTGTCCAAGTTTTAAGTAATAGATTTTCTGGTGCTAGAGAGACATAGCTGGCTGCTGTTTAGTTTAGGGGTTTATAGAACTTAATGGATCAGTTGACAGGCTGTTTTCCACCTCTCAAAGAAAAAAGAAACCTCGATGGCTATTCACAGTAAGTTGCAGCTGAATTAAAAGTTTTTATTTTTATAATGTTTTAATCTTCAAATGCATGCAAGGAAACTGTTATGTATTATGTACATTGTACCTTGTTTAAACTTCTAGGTTGTGGGGTTTTTTGGTTTGTTTGTTTGTTTTCTCCTCAGCTCTAACAGTAGACTTTTTTTGATCAAGACTAAAAGCTAGGTTAGTTTCCCTCAGATTTCATTTTACTGAAATAACTAGAAAACTTTTTATTGAAAAATCCCAGATCAAGCAATTCAAGATCAAAGAACAAAACAGAATTTTGATGCAAATTTGCAGCACTATTTACTAATAGAATACCAAATGGAGGTGTCTCTTCATATTCTCCACTGTCCTCACTTCTGTACTTCCCTCTTTCTCTCTTTATCAGCACCTCATCATATCCTAGCTTGTAGTTAGGATTTCACTGTGTGGAGTTCAATAATATTTTTGCAATGGAATGTGTTGACCTTAGCTACTGTTTTTTGTCTCTAGTGGTGATAAGGCAATTCTAGGGAAGAATGTTTTTATTCTACTTTTTAACATTGTGTCAGTAAAAATTTTTTGTTCTCCAATTAGGTTAGAAAAACATGAAGGTGTGCCTGTGATCTCATGACCATTCGTTTTGTGCTTCTTATTGCTCCCTTCTTTTTGTTTCATTTTTGTTATTTAGTAGATTTGTTTGCATATCTTACTATGTATGGTCTGCTTAGTAAGAATTTGTACATCTGGTCATGCTGGTAAAAATTCCTAATCTCATGTTTATAACATCCATCTCCTACGTTTTGCTTTTCTTGTACACTTTCCTGTTCTAAAAACGATCAAGTTTTTACTGAGCCTTCTGGATTTAGTTCCCTCAGTGATTAGTGGTAACACAAATTTATGAATCAAATGAATATACAAAATAAGGATTGATGCAGTAATATAATAATTTCTGTAGCTTGCTTTTTGGTTATGATACAATAAAAGTTAAATATTCCAGTTCTATTGGTTATTTAAGTGAAGTTAGAATTCATTGGTTTTATGACATACAAATTTCTTTTTCTTTAGGTATTATGGCAGGTTCAAACAGATCAGGTGATCTTAAGGATGCTCAGAAATCTATTCCTACTGGAACAATTTTAGCTATTTCAACTACTTCTTTTATTTGTATCCTTTGTGCTGTGACTTTTTTTTCTAGTCCAAATTCTGTAGGCATGGTATTGATTATTTTTTTTTTTAAAGTCATTGAGTAGCCTGAGTATAAAATTAATGAAATCCAACCTGAAAATAAATCTTTTATATTCATATATATATTACATATTTATTAGCATACACATATATTACATGTTTTATATATATATAACTATAAAATATATGCACATAGATGGTTAAAATGTCCTGTTTTCTACTAAGGTTTCAAACTCCAGCTTACAGCAAACTTCAAATTACAATTTATTTATAGTTAACCAATAGAGATCTATAGCATATTTCAGTTGGCAGATTGCTTTGTATTCAGTACAGCCACTAAAAATCTTAAAGCTAGGTAACAGCAGTAGAAATTGTTATTTAATCAGTAACTAAAAGACACAAATATCTTTGCATGAGAAATTACATGTTCTGTTTTGTGATGCATGAGCTGTTTGCTTCCAATACATTATAAAACAATTGTGGATCAAATGCAGGACATATGTAAAGAACATAAACTAAACATATGTAGTATGGGAGAATAATAATAATAAAAGCAAAAACAAAAAACTGAAGTTAGTTATGATGGACATTTAAGTTTTTCTCTATATAATTATTTATTTACAATTTATCTTCCTTCAGTCTCAATAACAGATCTTTCTTGCATAGTGTTGTTTGGTGCCTGTATAGAAGGTGTGGTATTAAGAGATAAGTAAGTTGCATTCAACTTGTAATTCTATAGGGAGCATGTATGATCATGAGTTTTGTTAATTAGATTTCATTTCATTAATGGCTCTTCTGGGAAACATCCATGTGGAATATTAGAGGAAGCATATAGAGGAAGCATCCGGGATAAATGTTTGTGAAGTGGGACTGTTGCTAATTAAACACTCTTGAGAGACAAAAGCATAGTTGGTATTTGTAGAATTGGCTGAGATGGAGGTAAGTGTGTTTTTATTAGGTCAGAAGAGGTTTATTCCTGAGGAATAAAGATGAAAATTTTTTTTGACACCTGTATGACAAGTGGAGTTCATCAGAAAGAATACAATATACCATCTAGTGGACGCATGACACCTCTTGGTTTTTAAAATGATCATTTATAAATTAGGACTCATATTAGGACAGATTTTGCAAGCTGAATGCAGGTAATCTGTCAGAGTCATAAAAGGGTTTGGGTTGAAGGGACCCCAAGGTGCATCAAGTTCCAACCCCTGCCACAGGCAGGGCCACCAACCTCCACATTTAATACCAGACCAGGCTGCCCAGGGCTCCATCCAACCTGGGCTTGAACACCTCCACGGATGGACGGGGCATCCACAGCCTCTCTGGGCAGCTGTTCCAGCACCTCACCACTCTCTCTGTGAAGAACTTCCCCCTGACATCCAATCTTAATCCTCCCTCCTTGAGCTTAAAAACATTTCCCTCTTGTCTTACCGCGAACTACCTGAGTAAAAAGTTGATTCCCCTCCTGCTTATAATCCCCTTTTTAGTACTGGAAGTCTGCAATGAGGTCTCTTCGCAGCCTTCTCTTCTGCAGGCTGAAGAAGCCTAACTCTCTCAGCTTGTCTTCATAGGGGAGATGCTCCAGCCCTCTGATTGTATTTGTGGTCTGGACCTTCTCCAACAGCTCCACGGATCTGTTGCTAGAGCAGAATGCATTTGCAGCAAGATCGCTGATCCAAGATTGTTGATAGTTTCGTTTACAGCTGCCAGTTCATGTTTTTCTGAAGTCTAGCATAAGAATGAAATGTAGCAGGATTTGTCTATTTCAAAGTCTGTTTTTCTTTTCATTGTGGGTTGTCATATTTGCAGTGGGAAGAAAAACCTTGTACATTCTTTCACATTTCAAGTTTTCTTAATGGAGCCAAATTCCAATACTTGTATTAAGAATGAAGATGCGGCTCAGAGAAACATAGCCTGTTTTTCTCCTTTGTATTTAAAGGATGTCTTTTCCTGTCTTCTCATCTGCTGAAGATAGTATGTGGCTGTACAAGCTTTAGAATATGCAACAACTTGAATACTTGTTTACAACTGATCTGATTATTATGTCTCTGAACCTTGTCAAGTAGCTGGTCCAAATAGAGATGTATTTAACTTTTCTTAGCCTACAGCCTTTTCTTTTCTCTGGTGTTTATTAAAATAAATTTTAAAAAGTGAAGAAGTTATATGCTACCACAGTACCATAGAGCACATGTTCTTGAAACTGATTTTGGTTACTTGCTTACAAAGCTAAGATGAGCTACCAGAGGCTTACTTGTTTTAAAAACAAAATCATTTGGGGAAAAAAAAAAGAAGTTTTTCATTCTTTACCCAACGTGTCCATAAATGAGCATAAAGTCAATTATCTTTAGGAGGAAGAAAAGAGTAAAAGAAGAATTGGTGGCATTGGATTCAGTGCTCAGTGCTGTATTATGGAAGTTCTTCCTTTTTTTTGATACTCCCTTGTTAAAGGGGCTCTTTTGAATTGCATTGGGTGGCATAATAATCGGAAGACATGAGTAACTTGGGATGGTTGTATCCAGTAGTTTCTCTGTATCTCCTTGTCTATATATTAGTATCACACTACTAAAAGTGTGAACATTAGTTCAACAAATCTTCTGTTTATGCACTGGGCACGCCAGTCTTACATACAGGTGGGACACAGACTTTTTCCTTTTTTTTGGTATTGTTAACTTTGTAAAGTTTGCCAAGATAGCTAATAGTGACTGTGTCATCTTAAAAGGCAGCATCTAAGCATCTAAGATTGTCCAAAAAGATTGAGATATGGGTTGTGAAACTATAAAATAAATTGTTTTAGTGTTTACTATGGGTTGTTGTTGTTAACTTGTGTTTACTCCTTGCTTTTGTGTTGTTTTTCCCTTCTCTAAGGTTTGGTGAAGCAGTTGATGGAAACCTAGTGGTTGGTACACTGGCCTGGCCTTCTCCATGGGTTATTGTGATTGGTTCATTCTTTTCAACATGTGGTGCTGGTCTCCAAAGTCTGACTGGTGCACCCCGTCTGTTGCAAGCCATTGCAAGAGATGGCATTGTACCATTTATTCAAGTGAGAGAATACTTTTATATATTTCAAGTGTGGCATTTATTTTGTTGACAGTAAAAAAAAAAAAAGAAGCATTATTTCTGCTGTTCTTCCAGAACTAAAAAAAAAAAAAAGATTTGAAATCAGGACTACTTATTTACAGCAATATAGTAAGACCAAAGTTCAGTTATTTCAGTGCAATTTAGTTATTTTTGTCTGTATGTACATACATATATATAAATGTTAGTAGGTCAAGACTGAAAAACTTATGTAAATTGAAATGAGCAATCAAAGAGACAGCTAAGATTTCTGACTCTAGACAGTGCTAATGATTGGTGTTTGTGAACTGAGTTGATTTAATTTCATGATGGAGATGAATATCACTTCTCACATCAGAGATACAGTTCTCAATTTTATTCATTTTTGGAGGCTGAGTGAAGTCAAGAGTAACAATGTAATTCCCTCTTATGACTCCATATATCAAGACTTTTCTTTTTGAGGGATTTGAGACTTGGAAGGTACTTGCAGTTTTGGAGTCATACAACTGTTGCATGGGCAATTGGGAACGAGAGGAGATTAATATGGGGACAACAGTCGGACATCTTTTAAGAATGAAACAAAGGACTTTCAAACCATAATCAGGAAAAAACTAACATTTTATTATAAAGAAAAGTAGACTTATCAATGAGTCATGGAATAGAATACAGTCACAAAGGTTGAAAAAGAAGATATAAAAAATAATGCTTTCAACTGTGTTAGCTTGTTATAGACTAAATGCAAATGATGCATACAGATTTTAAATTACTTTAGATTATTTCAACAGCAGCTGCTGATATACTTCAATGTAATGTATTAATTGTTTTTTTTAGTAAACATTTTTCTTCATATTGGAGATAAATGTTTTTACACTCCCCCTTTTTTTTTTTTCAACAATTTTTTTTTGTTTGTTTCTTTTCCCTTCTAAATGATGACTGGGTTTGGTTCCAGGTAGTTCACTGTCTGCACTGTGTTTTAAAACACTATAATAAGCAGCTTTTTCCCAATTTTATTTTATACTTGAATTGAACTAGGTATTTGGACATGGAAAGGCGAATGGAGAACCAACATGGGCTCTGCTCCTCACTGCTGCTATTTGTGAAATAGGAATTCTGATAGCTTCTTTGGACAATGTTGCACCCATTCTTTCAATGTAAGTATGAATTTGTTATTTCCTGTTCTTTTACATTAATAGTATTTTATGTTTGAATTCAGTAGGCAATGATTTTTCTCTTTGGAGTAATACCCAATACACCTAGTTTTCTAACGAGTTACACTTCTATCTGATCTTTGAGATAGTCTGAAACAAAAATCTCTTTAAATCACAATTAATTTCTAGGCATAATAAACTTTCCTTGATGGATTTCTTGAATGCTAGCAAAAAGGTTTAACTTTCAATAAATAAATAAATAAATGAACATTTTCCCTACTGAAACAGTTTCATATTTTAGGGTATGAATGGATAACAACTCCATAGGTTTATTGCATTTGTTTTGGGCTGATTTTGGGCTGCATTTGTTTTCTTTTCCTTAATAGGTTTTTCCTGATGTGCTATATGTTTGTAAATCTGGCTTGTGCAGTTCAAACGCTCTTACGAACTCCCAACTGGAGACCTCGTTTCAAGTATTACCACTGGTAGGGGATATTCTTTCATTCAGAATAATTAAAATTGCGTATAGAGCCTTGATTTGTTAATTTTATTGCAGACATTAATCAAAACAGACTTTCTGACTTAATTGAGTTAATGTTTGAGTGCATGAACAAATTTCTCTAGCAGTAGCATTTATTTTTGTCTGTCTAGAATAGAGTTGTAATTGTGAGCCTGAAAACACGTGACTATTATAGAGGGTCTGGGAAAGGTCTACAGGGTAAAATGTTAATAATCCAGGAGACATTCTGATTGGGTAAAAATGAAGACGAAATGGAGTATCACTTTTTGTAGAGGGGGCAAAATGGTAAAATATTTTGGGAATGTTGATTTTTTTTTTTCTTTTCATTTTGGTAATGTATATACAAAAAAACAAACCTCTGGGAAAATATCGTAATTAATATACACCAGTTTGTTCTGTAACTGACAACTATTTTTAAAATATGTCATGCTTTGAGCATGCATTTGGAAATAAAAGTACACAGTGCACAAATGAATACTTGACAAAGTTGGTAAAGGTCAGTTATACAAAAAGTTTTTTTTTTTTTTTTTTTTTTTTAATGGATTAAACGATGAAGAAGTTCAGAATAAGATTGGGAAAGTTTTTAAATTTTGACCCAATTTGAAAATGCATCTGATTTTTTTATTAGCTGATTCTACAGAGAAATTTTAGTGCCAAAATGCCTTAAAGACAAGAACCTTTTGGAGATGAACAGGCCTGATTCTAGTATGGAAGAGGGTTGTTTGTTTTTTTGTTTGTTTGTTTTGTTTTGCTTTTCCACTTTAAATGGTAAGGAGGAAGTAAAATGCTATATTTTCATCCCTGAAATATCTTTTTGGGCATACTCAGTAAATACTTACTAGTTTGTCGCCTCATTCCCAAAATATTTCAATGCTGGTTTTCAAGTCTTATCACTTCCACATCAAGAAGAAAGTGGGGAATTGTCTTCTTATGATCGGTTGGTTCTTTTGCTTTGTTTTTAAAGCACCTGCTCTCACAAATAATGGGATTGTGTGAGAAATATTAGGAAGTACAAAGCATAGAATTTAATGCAGATGGGAGGGTACCAAGAAGAGGATGGACCATGGTAAGGAAGGAAAAGCAGAGTTGTAAAATTTGGCAACAGTTTTCTTCCTATCCCACATTTTACCAATGAGCCAACTGACTTACTGTGTGAATACATGATCCTTTTTTTTTTTTCTTCAGAAAAAGCAAGTGTCAAAATGCTTGTTCAGAAGTGGGATGGGACAATTTTTTAAGTGAAACCAGTATCTTCAGTTGGCTGAAATTATGAAAGAGCAGCTGAAAAATATGTTTAGACTGATGTACTCAGAAAAGAAGATAGCATTTCTTTGAAATGAAATGGATGCATTTGGTCTCAGTACTTGCATGATAATAAAAAAGCAAACTAAAGGAACCAAAAAAAATGTTGTTTCTGCCTTCCTTGTCAGTACAGCGAAAGCAAGTTCTGACTTTGAAAGCAGGTGTTTGAAATTCAAGTATCTAACTAAATGTAACCAGAAAACTGCCTGGTTCTGAGCTGAGCTACATCTGTCTGAATTATAGTGGAAGCAAAGCAGGCACATAAACTTCAGTCTGGACATGCTTCTATGACTTTTCTAGCTCAGTCATTCTTGAGAGCCTTTGAAAGACAAGCCTTAAGCAAGAGACGTATCGCAATGTAGGTGGAAAAATAATTTGTGAGTCAAAATTAATTTAAATTAATCAACTGTTTTTGCTCTAAGTAACATAATGTCCTTCGGATTGCTTGAGAAATTTCAACCAATCCATAGTAAGTGATGACAAAATAATTTGAAACTGATCCTACTTGGAGGGAATGGTAAGAGTTTCAGAACTGACAAGTGTTTTAAATTTGTTATGTGTAGTTCAATTGCATTTGTTTCACACAAAAGACTTCAGAATGTAATTTTTTATAAACTAAAGTTGTGAAGGTGTATTTTTACTTATACTTACCTATGAATTCACATTGGAAGGTAAGGAGAGGTCTTCTGGGGAGTTAAGTAAGAAATTGACTGTAGAATATATGCATGCCTATTTAAAAAATGGAAAAAATGGTTTCTTTTAGGACTCTTTCATTCCTGGGAATGAGTTTATGTCTTGCCTTGATGTTCATTTGCTCTTGGTACTATGCTTTGATTGCCATGCTAATCGCAGGATGTATATACAAATACATAGAATATAGAGGGTAAGACCAAATATCTTATTTATTCTATATTTAATATATTTAATATTCAGCAAAAAGATTTTTGTTATATAAAATAGGTACAACTGAAGCAATAGAACTAAGAATATTCTTTGAAACAAGGTAAGATTCCATCTACATTAAAGGTTACAAGTCTGAAAATTCTTACTTCTCTGGAAGCTCAGTTCCAAAACACTCAGTAAATATAACTAATCAAAATAAGAAGCAATATAGCTGGGAAATATTAATTTAAACAAATATTGTGGTGTTAAATTCGGTAGTAGAGGTACATCACAGTTCTGGGCTCCCCAGTTCAAAAAAGACAGGGATCTCCTAGAAGGAATCCAGCAGAGGGCCGCAAAGATGATTCAGGGAGCATCTCCCTTTTGATGAAAGGCTGAGTAACCTGGGTCTGTTCAGCCTGGGGAAAGAAAGACTGAGAGGGGATCTGATTAATATTTATTAACATCTACAGGGAGATGGGCAGCAAGTGGATGAGGCCAGGCTCTTTTCAGTGGTGTGCAGTGATAGGATGAGGAGCAATGGCCTAAAACGTGAATGTAGTAAGTTTCATGTAAGCATGTGGAAGAATGGAGCATGGAACAGGTTGCCCAGAGGAGTTGTGGACTCTCCTTCTATGGAGATATTCAGATCTGTCTAGGTGCCTATGTTTGCAACCTACTATAGGCTACCTGCTTTAGCAGGGGGGTTGGATTCAATGATCTCTTGAGGTCCCTTCCAACCTCTTCTGTGATTCTGTGATCATCTTTTGGCACCAAGCAGCAACTAATACAAAAATATAGTGAACTTCTGTGAAAGTGGTAAAACTCTGCTCTTTTGTGTCAACTTCAGCACTTTTTAGAATGGATCAAAAAAAAACCACTTAAGAAGCCAGAACACCCACTGAAAATGATCTATTTTTTAAGGCCTAGGTAATCTTTAACCTGCAATATACTTTTAGAGCCACACCTGTCAGAAATGCAGGGAGGTAGGGGAGTTAAAGAGCATATTCAATTCATTAAATAAACACATACATAAAATTTAGAGGCAATCTTGATCAGTGTGTACATTTTCCATTTCCAAGGAAAAGACATCTGGTGACAAAAGATGCTAGCCAAGAAAAAGACCAAGACCAGAAAACTGAAATGAGTCTAGGAATTTTGATAAGTAATGAAGCACAAATGTTTGTAGATCAACTGATGTAAACTACTCCATATTGTAGATTCTCCATCTTTTCATATCACTGTCTGCAGAATAAATGTTCTCCTGGATAGGATTTTCCTGGATTGTACATAGGTCACTCTGAAAGTAATGCCTCCTATTTATTTCTATGAAAACTACAACAGACAAAAAGAGCACAATGACACTATTTGATAAAGCAAATTCTCAACTACAAAATACCGTATTTCAATCTAGTCACTACCACTAGTTACGCATTTTTGCCAGCAGTGAACAAGAGCCTGCATGCCATGCTCGTAAAAATCTGTGTGGCTACCTGGAACATGGTTTGTCTTTCATATCATTGCCATCACTGCTGAAATGTACCATTCAGCACCTCAGTGTGCTGACATCCAGTATTTGGTCTTCATAAACATCTGCAAGAATTAAGGAATGTCAGTGAGTGCAAGTTTTTCTGCATGGAGGAATTCAATTCCACACATTTGATTCATATGCTCATCTACATCAGATGTCATTTTGTCAGACTTCCCCTCTGCTGCAATGTGTTGCACAACAACAGAATGTAACAGAATACTCAGGGAAGGTTCAGACTCTGCTGCCATACCACGAACATCCATTAGCCTCCCACATCGTCGGCCGATGTAACAAAAAGGAGGCGTTACTTTTGAAGCAGCCCTCCTAACAGCTCCTTGTTATTAGATTCAACAGGAAATTTCTCTTGTCTGTTTTACCTTGTCCGATGAAATGATCAGTTCTGCTGATGTGTGTCTATTGGTATATTCATATGTAACATTGTACATACATCCACATTCATGCACAGACTCTAGAAATTTTGAAAGGTGGCTGCTGCAACTACCCTCTGGAAATATTCTATTTTGCTCAAACTCAGTCTCTGTCTTTATAAATGCAGAGTCTGATTTTTGTGGGAGGAGTGAGGGGGAATAGACCTTGAAGCATCCTAAAAACTGTTATCTAGGAAAAAAAAAGTTTTAATTTTTGGGTAACTGAGTAAAAGAAACTTTCAGTCTATCTGTCAGTGCACATCATAGTTGCCACCTTGTTCTCTAAGGTAAATTTTGACTTTTAGTACCTAAATTTTGAAAGAGGTCTAGAAATAACAAAGGAAGGTGAAAATTCATGAAAGGAAATAGGGAGGCATGGGTGAGATGAGAAATGGAGTGGGGCAGAGAGGAAAGGAGGGAGAAGGAAGATTGATCTAGCCAAAGTAGCATTTCCATAAAAGAGTGTAATTGCAACATTAGCCTAACATTTCTGTCCTTTGTCACCTGGAATAGTTTTGCATCGGATGAAGAGAAATCAAAAATGTAGAGGTGGAAAGTGTTTGGGGAAGAAGGATGAAGATCTAAGTTTCTCTGGAAGGAGTTGAGAAAGAAAGGAAATAGAGAAGGTAGTAGGGATATGGGGAGAAGGTAGAACACTAATACATAGGAAGTAAAATCTTGCTTATTCTAATGCTTGAAAGCAACTTAGGAGGCTCCCATTATTACAAACAAAAACCTTTTATGTATAACATAAACTGTAATAAATATTTAAAAATATTATAAACAGATTTCTTGAAAGGACCTGGGATATAAATCTGCAGTATGAGATTTTTGTTAAGCCTTCATGTTTAAAAAAAAAAAAAAGAGGGGGGAGACACAACTTATTTTTGATACTTCTTACCTTTCACATGGGAAAATATTCTTAATTTGTATAAATGAACTGCACCATGTTAATTAAATCTCTTCTGCATTCCAAAGAGCGGAAAAAGAGTGGGGTGATGGAATACGAGGACTCTCTTTGAATGCAGCTCGCTATGCTTTGCTTCGTGTTGAAGATGGTCCTCCTCACACCAAAAACTGGAGGTAAAAGTCCTGTGCCTTCTGAGTTTACACATAATTCACACATAAGGCTGAAGCTATTGGGAACACTACTGGTAATGCTAATGACCAAAGTGAAAGTCAGCGTTAAATTCATGTTTTAACTTGAGCGTGGAATAGATATAGTTACAATTCTGTAATTTCACTGTAAAGGAATATTATTTATGAGTAGCACGTAATCAGCCTTGCAGATTGCTGATTACATGGATAAAATTGAACTGACATCCATGCATTGTTGACATGGCTTTCTAAAATGCAGAATATTGTTTAATTAGAGGTTTCCAGATTCAAAGCAAGTTACCTTTGATCCTAGAGTATCTGTGAAAAACATGTACTGCAAGTGCATAAGGCTCTTTTGCTTTTATATGTCATTCCCTGTGAAAATGTCCTGGTTTCAACGGAAACAGTGTTAATAGCACAGCACTGTTTTGGGTATTGCTGAGTAACGGATGCATGTCTGCAGCCAGACCAGGTCACTTGGCAGGGAAGAGATAATGCCTTTATGGTGTGCAGCAGAACTAGCCTGAGGACACCTGGCCTGAGTTAGTTAAGAGGCTATTCCATACCATGTGGCCTCATAGGGAAGGCTGTAAAGCTGTGGGAAGCAGGCCAGGCCCCTGTGTAGGATTAGCTGGGCATAGTTCAAAGGGTGGTGAGACTTTGCTTTGTTAGCGGGGTGACAGTGGTGAGTATTGTTAGCTAGGTGTTGTTCAGTGGGTGGTGAGTAATTTCATTGTGGATATATATATATATATGTGTGTGTGTGTATTGTTATCATCACATTTTTATTTCTGTTTCCCTTTTTCTGTCTTAGTTTATCTCAACCAACAAGTTCTGTTTTGTTTCCTGTTCTGTCCCTTGTCCCATTTGGAGGGGAACAGATGGCTGTGTGGTGCTTAGCTGCCTGCCAGGTTAAACCTCAACAGAAATGTGTTGTGAAAACTTACAGAGGAATCATTATTTCTAGAACTGCTGTTACTGTAAAGAGATCAATCAAGAAACTCTCTGAGACTCACTATGGAGTGTTAGAAAGTAGGCATTCTTTAATACCAGTGCTGGATGCATGGGATACTGTCCTCCTATCGCATGTACCTTGCACAAAAAGGTCTTCAATTTATATACATGCAGAGGTCTTCCCAGACGTACATGTCATCCAGACAGATGAAGTCGTTGAGCCTCTTATTTGTTCAGTACAAAGATAGACCCTTCCCCTTATCTGAACAAGCTGCAAGGTTGTCCATTATGGGACTTAACAAGCTGCAACTTGTATCAGAACTTCTTTTTAATACCTATTATAATGTAAGGCAGATTTCATTTAATAGCAGCACTTCTGAGAGTGGTTAGGTCTCATTAACACAAAATTTTACATTTGGAGCTTTTTTGTATCTAATGGGAGTCAGTGCCCATTGCTATTTTTCCAGTTAATTCCTTTTACTTGTTAAACTATCAATTTCCTTTAGCCAACACAAAGAATGACTTAAGGTTTAAAAACAAATGCATTTTTACACATTGTCACTCTTAATTTATGCAGCAAAAATTAACTCTTTAATCAGTGAAACACACGAAAAAAGAAACTATCACAAGTTGTGATTTCACCCCTGTGGAAGCAATGGTCTTCTGCCCTTCAGTGCAGCAGTATTATTTTATCTTTAGTTGTGGAGCTGTTAAACATGAGCAGCTTCTATAGCATGTGTAAGCCACTAGTCTTTATATTTTGTGTGAACTGACAAGCATTGACAACCATTAGTACAATGTGACAATGCTTCCATTAAATGTCTGCCATCACTTCAGTTCCAGATGACTTATTCTCTTGTTTTGTTAAGATAATTGCTAGAACAAGACTTTCTTCCGTATTAAAATCTGATGTTGAGGAGGGAAGTACGTTCAATTTCTCTTGCAGCTCTTTTGAACTTTTGGTAATTAGAGGAAAATCCTAGATTCAGTTTGGGGAAAGTATGCAAATTAGACTCTATATACTATATATTGAATAAAGGAAACAGAATGCAACCACATTTAGCATGGAGGCTAAATTGAACTTATGGTGCTATCAGTGCAGTCAAGGGTATGACTATCTTTAGGAAGGACCTAGTCAGGTGTAGGAATGAGTCAACGTGAACATCATGAAAATCCAGGACAAGTTCGAAGTCATGTCCATGGGACATCTTTTTCTAGTGCAGTGGTACAGCATGGGAATGATGCAAAAGGATCTGTTGTTTCCAGTAAGCAGTAAACAATCAGTATGACTTGGCATAAGTAAATATTCCTCTTTACTCAGCACTCTTTAGAGTACATGTGGAATATTTCACCCCATTTTAGGCACCCCAGCATCAACTAGACATCAGTAAGCTGTGACATGTTCAGCAGAGTGCTAACAGGATGGTTGGGGCGCTGGAGCACATCCCTTGAAAGGAAAGGCTGAGGCAACTCGTCTTACGCAGCTTGAAGGAGGCTTAAGTGGAACCTAAAAGCTAGTATAAATAGCTATACATATCCAGTCCCCCGGAGATGTTGTGGAGCAAGATCCTTTACAGCACTGTATGGTGTGAGAATAAGAGAAAGCGATATAATGGGAAAAGGTGGTAGAATCTCTGCCATGAAAGTTTTCAAGATCCAACTGGACCAAGACCTAAACACTCTGGAGTACAATTCAGTATTTAACTGCTTCAAGCAGCAGGTTGCACTAGAAAACCTCCAAGGGGTGATAATTAGGCTTCAACAATTTTCTTGGTGGTACTGGTTTGGTTTGGATTTTTTTCAGGTTACTCATGTACCTGGATTGTGGCAGCCACTGCTCATTGTGATTTTTTTTCTTACTTGATGTTGATTACTTTTGCATTAAGCACTAAATCTGCACTTTATTACCTGTTAATTCTATTCTTTCAGTTCTTTACCACTTCTGTGTATGTATGTGTCACATGTAATTTTTTTTTTTTGGCAGACCTCAACTTTTGGTCTTGTTAAATTTGGATTGTGAACAGTTGGTGAAGCATCCGCGATTGCTTTCTTTCACTTCTCAGCTGAAAGCTGGTAAAGGGCTGACTATTGTGGGATCTGTGCTTCAAGGAACCTACTTGGATAGATGTGTAGAAACTCAGAAAGCCGAAGAGGTGTGTAAAAGTCAGCTTACAAGCCTTCTGTAAATTCTATTAGTGTTTAAATATTGAATCTGATATTCTGAATTCAGGTACAGTTTAAATAAAAGCCTTTTATAAAAATGTTTTGATTGATCTGTTTGTGTATTTAAATTAAAAAGTTTGCTCTACTGTAACAAAATGTCTTTCAGAATTTCCCGACGAGTCAATACTGATGCTGCTTAGTTTTTCTCAGCATTGAGGGCCAGACGGGCTCAATTTATTTTATATTCTTGTAAAATCTGGGGGATATATTTCTAAAAAAACACTTCATAAGAAAATTGATTTATTCATTTAAGAAATGCAGACGTTGGCATAATTTCAGCTGTGTGGAAAAAACCTAAAAACATCTGAACTCCAAGATTTTAAATCTGTCACTGGAATGAAAACTGGAAATTAATACAGAAATTCTGAAGATCTGTTTCAGAATCCACTGATCAACTTTGATTTTCAGTGCCAAGCAAGTGTACATTCCTGTTCTATCTAAATCAACTTGTTTACTACTTTGTATACCCCAGTAGTTCCAGTGTTGATGCTTTGGTAATGATATGGATATACAGTTTCTTATCTATGCACAGCTCTCCTACTCCTTTACAGAGCACAGTGAAACATTTTTAGAAAATACCATGTAGGCTTTAGCTGTTATGTCTTCAGAATGGTTAATGGAAATGAGAATCAGTTGAAATGTCTGCTGTTTCGGTTGAAGAATTTTTCAACTCTATGTAAAGATTCCTGTGAATTATTCAGACCTGATATCTCACAAATAGATCCAAGAGCTGGAAATGAATTTAAGGGAAACCTAATCCCCATGATCGTCTGAGAAGTTAGACCTGCTGGTGTCGAAGTCAGCTGTTGCTTTTAAGATAGAACTGAAGACATTTCAAAGAGTGTCTGAAGGGCTTGCTGATTTTTGGAAATTTTCTGCTAGAAAATAGTGTTTCTAGAAGACTTGTGGAAAAACATTTTTTTTCTTTTTCAAGAGAAATGAGAAAAACCAAGCACTTAAACTGATATGCCCCTACAAATACTGTTTGGACAGGCAGATTTGTTAGCTTTACTTTCAATTTCTTTGAAGATTTTTTTCTATATAGAACAAAATTTCTCATGTGAAACACACTAAGCTTGCACCAGGCGTTCTGTAATCAAATGTCTCCCTACTGGTGTTTTATAGGGTTCTCTTGGAATTGCACTTTTTGAGTGGGAGTCTTTGTGTGGTCAGGCATAGGACCTAAGAGCAGATAATTGTCTTGCTTTTTAAACAACAGTTCTTTTGTCTGGCCTTCTGGCCTCCAGTTGTCATGGGGAAGGAGAGATGGAGATATGCTTAAAGAACAGCACACAGGAAACTGGATGAGAACTTTTACACAGTGAGACAGTTACAAGTTTGCAGCTATGAAATGAGGAGTATGAAGGGGTCAGAAATTGTTAGAATTAAGCTCTCCTTCGTTGAGAAGAAAACAGAAGCAGGATGGTAAGTTAGGGATAACCTTTTCGAGGAGACTGTGGTCAGAGTGAACTGCATGGTAATGGTCTGGTCAAATGCAGAGTAGAATTGATAGTTCTCAGCATTCTTAGTTTCTGACAAAACATCCAAGCCAGTGAGCAAACCTAGTGATTCAATCTGTTTTACAAGCTGCTTCAGCTCAAAGAATATAGGAATGTTTTAGTGCTATTGCATCTGCTGGTTGTTATTTTGTGAACCCAAAAATCTATTCCTTTGAACCTCTGAATGATTTTCCTAAAAAACAAACAACAACAAACCTGAGTATTTTGATGCTTGCCAAAATTCCAAGTTTTGTTGGTTCAGTGTTTTCTTTGGAAACTGCTGAACTTCCATGCAAATCATTAATGATGGGATTTTCAAAGTCGTGCTGTTGGGGAGCGTGGGTAATGCCAAAACTGTTTTTTCCTGCTCAACCTTGATACTGTTTTGAATGGTGTTTACAAATTGTTTGGTTATGTGTCTATGTCAGTGTTTAAATGAAGGAGAGCCATACTGAAATCAAGGGCTATGGGATTTAAATATAGTCAGTTTTTGTCATTATTCAGCCAGTGATTCTGATTGTCTGCACATCTCTTTTTTCCATATTGGGAGCGGATAAATACAGAATCAGCCTCTCAGTATCAGAGCTCTCAAGGACTCCTGAAGTCTTTGGGATCCCATTTCCCAAGCCCTTCCGATTCCAAAGGAAAGGATCTGCAATCCCATTAAAATGTTTTTTTTTATCAATCAATAAAGTTTTGGCTTCACCAGAAGCAATATTTATTAGCTTTATAAATAAATAAATAAAGCTTTGTCAATGTGTTTTTATTCATATCTTCTTTGGAAGAAAAAGACTAATAACAAGTGAAAACCCTCTGGTGTCTTATGTAGTGTTATTTGAGGCTTCAATTGTAGGATCAGTTCACTGCTAGGGAATTAGAGTGGCATCTTGTTGGTTGTACGTTAGTATCTAACGTTTTGCTTATATTTGCTGTTACTCTTCATGGTATTTACTATCTGTGTTGATGACTGTATTTCCTCATGTGTAATCTTCCTTTTCCACAGAATGTTAAAGCTTTAATGGGAGTCGAAAAGACTAAAGGATTTTGCCAGATTGTGGTATCTCCTAGTTTCAGAGATGGAATATCACATTTAATTCAGTCAGCTGGCCTAGGAGGAATGAAACACAATACAGTTTTGATGGCATGGCCACAGTCCTGGAAGCAGACAGAAAATCACTTCTCTTGGAAAAATTTTGTTGGTATTTGTTTTTTATTTTCTCTTACATGATTGTAAGACAACTATATGACTGATGTATGACTGATTTCCTGTGTGGGGGAAAAAAGATGTGAAGCTGAATATCCAGTTGACATTCAGTACTTCCTGAATTCTGACTTATGTGGAGTGGGTTTTCTCAGTCCTCAGTCTCTTTAACTATTGATTTCTCTTTTCCTCTTAAGCAGATTAGTCACTAAACTCAGGTGGATTTAAGCTTTTGAATTTAAAACAAACATTGTGAATGGAAACTAGAAGTTCTTGATCACATGTCTTATTTTCCCCTGCAGACACTGTACGAGAAACAACAGCAGCTCAGCAAGCTTTATTGGTGGCTAAAAACATCGACTTGTTTCCAACAAATCAAGAACGTTTTACTGAAGGAAACATAGACATCTGGTGGATTGTTCATGATGGTGGAATGTTGATGTTGCTGCCTTTTCTTCTTCGTCAACACAAGGCAAGTACAGTAAGAAACAGCTTGGATTCCATTTTCTTATAGCAGGTCTTCATAAAGCTCTCCAATGAAATATGCTCAGAGTCTGCAATCACTGTAATATGAACAGATAAAAATAAATTATTTTTGGCTAGGTTTGGAGAAAATGTAAGATGCGTATCTTCACGGTTGCTCAAATGGATGATAACAGCATCCAAATGAAGAAAGATCTTCAGATGTTCTTGTACCATCTTCGCCTCAATGCTGAAGTGGAAGTTGTTGAAATGGTATGTTACTACATTTTTTTTTAAGCTGAAATTAGGACTAAACTTGGAAACTGAGCATGTTAGCCCAAGTACAATGCTGCAAGAAATGGAAGACTTCAGTCCCACCAAGAAAAAGAAGTTGTTTCTTAACACAGTGCTATCATACCATGCTGTAATGCCAGAGTATGTGGTAGTGAGTTTAATGGTGTGTCAATTAGAGGTGAGTAATTTTGATATGCATTACTACTTACTTTATGAAGATTAGTCTGTAGATAGAGTTCATTCAAGAAGGTAAAAGCCTGAATTCATAGAGGTGGACCTTGAAATAAAAGACTGAATAATCCCTTACTAGTAATTGCTGACGTGACTAACATATGTTTCTCCAGCTGATGTACAAATATATCTCTAGAATAAAAAATCTCTGGCCTCGGTGGCACTGCCAGTCTCTTTGGCAATGAACAACAAGACTACATAGATATGGATTCACAGTTCAAATGGTGACAAATTGAATTTCATAACTTCCTTCTTTTTTAAACACTGGTTATAACCTGTTAAAAAGAAAGAGGTAAAGCTGTAACATGCACACTCATCTGGCAAATAAGGAGAAGTGTGATTTCATTTCCATTGCTAAGACTAAACATATCTTCTACGCCCTCATCTGAAGTGTAGTGAAGGGGTTGTGGGAGTGAGTTGCTCCTCCCAGGACCTGGTGTTCTTAGGAGCTTTTTGAGCCGCATACCTCTCAAAAATGTTTATCATGCCATAAAACAAATATAGACTGTTACAAGAATCACTTAACATAAATAAGTGTGGCATGCACAGGTGAAAGAAGCTTGAAAGATTGAGTGCCATTAAAAGACTCCCTTAGTTACATTTAAAGCAGATGGGAAGCACATATAGGAAGCACAATGTATTTCTTTCTTATCTTGCCTATATTTAAGCACAGGAATCTTCCAAATTAAAAGAAATACTTTAAATGTCAGTGACATTAGTAAGAGCTCTAGGTTATATTTTAGATTTAGATCTGAGAATCACAGAATGGCTTGGATTGAAAGGGCCCTTTAAGATCATGTAGCCCCAATCCCCCTGCTGTAGGTCAGGACATCCATTAACCAGGTTGCACAAAGCCCTATCCAGTCTGGCCTTGAACACAGGATAGGGGCATCCACAGCATCTCCAGTGTCTCACCACCCTCACAGCAAAGAATTTCTTCCTAATATCTGGTCTAAATCTACCCTCTTCCAGTTTAAAGCCATTTCCCCTTGTCCTGTCACTACATGCCCTTGGAACAAGCCCCTCCTCAGCTTTCCTGTAGGCCCTCTTGAGGTACTGGAAGGCTGCCATAAGGTCCTCTGAAGCCTTCTCTAGGCTAAAGAGCCCCACCTCCCTCATCCTGTCCTCATAGGGAAGATGCTTCAGCCCTCATCTTCATGGCCCTCCTCAGGACCCGCTCCAACAGCTTGTTGTGCTTACTGTGTTATGGGCCCCAGAGCTGGACTCCAGGTGGAATATATGCTGAAGTTGCTTCATTAGTGCTTCTTTTTGAACAGTTCTCACTGGAGAAAGGACAGTGTGTTATGTTGTAGCTCTAGACTGTTTTCAAAGACACCATTATGCAAACATCCTCTGGAGTCTGCAGTGCAGGTAGTTTAAACGAACAGCTTCTACCTTACCTGCTTCTGTAGGTATATTGGAACAGAACAGTGGAAAGTCTGTCATGTGAATCTCAAATTCAGCTGATACTACATTGCTGTTAGTATTGTATAATAGTTAATGGTAAAAGATTGTCTTCATTCTTAAAGCTTAATCTTCAGGTAACAGAAATGATCAATGAAATATACTCTTGGGATTACTCTAAAGCCATTCATGAATCCAGGGTTCAATGAATGCAAGAATAAGTGGGGTACAAGTGTCTAAATGTTTTTGATTAATTTTTTTTTTTTTTTTTTTTTTGAGTAGTACTTCTGATATTTCTTATGTCAATCATTTTTGCAGTTTGAAAATGATATTTCTGCATTCACATATGAGAAGACACTAATGATGGAACAGCGATCCCAGATGCTAAAACAGATGCAGCTATCAAAAAATGAAAGGGAAAGAGAGGTAGGAACTTCTAACTTGGCAAGATATTCTATGAAAAATCTAAAAATTATTTTGTTGTTTTTAATCCAAGATTTTAATCTGTTTCTAACCAGCTTTTATAGCTGCATTCGATCTTACTTTCTCTGCAGCAGGTTTCACTTACAAGAATAAAAGAATCTTAAACATAACTCCTTTTGCATTTGGATAAAAGTTTCTAGAGTTTTCCAGTTCATTTTGTTAAGCTTAGTGCAGGTATTTGAGTGGCAGTGTGTAGAACATCTGGAACACTTCCAAGATTGAGATAAATAATGCTAATAATGAGATATGATTGTTTAACTGGACCAATTAGCTTTTTTGTTTAGCGTACTTCCTGGAGCCAAAATTAGGCTGAGTATCTGTAGGGACACGGTTAGGTTGTGGCTTGAACTGGTGACTGAGCACCTGGTGAAAGGGTTTGTCTGGCCCAGGGAGCACAGGCAGACTGTTTGTAGTGTGCTCCTGTGACAGGAGAGAACCAGAGTGGAGGCACCTTGTGCTCATGTAAGGGCCAGCCACAAGAGGGAGAGGGCCCTCTGTTGGACCTAGCTTTCTAAGAATGCTGTGCAGTCAGAGAGCCCCCCTTCACCAGTCGGGTGAGCTAGATTCTTTTTCTGTATGTGTCTATTGGCCTATCTGTGAATACCTGGTGTTGCCAAGTACCTGTCAGAAGCAGTTTTGTGTCTTTGTTAGCAGAACACTAACTATAATCCTACATGTTTGCTCTTCTCCTGCTCTTGCTAGTTTGTAGTGATGTTTTGCATTCTGTAGTAACTAGCTTCATGCAATTGTGTTTTCCCCAGTATTTGTAAGTTTTTAAAATATGATCCTTTTTCTCTTTTGATCGCCATCCATTCATTTGTTCTATTAACCACTGCTAACACTTTTTAGTGGTATAAAAGTTACTAAATATTTTGGCATTTCTGTCATTTGTGGTGTTTTCTGTCCTGTGCTAAAGGAAACATCTTTATTGTGTTAAGCTGCTCATTTATGAAATAACTAGATTTTTTTTTGTCCAACAAAAATTGTAGCTTATTTTACAGCTTAGGGTTTTTTTTTGTGTTAATTTGTAATGTCTGTGCACTTCCTTTATTTTTATCCTTATTTATTCTTTTCCTGTTTGTAGGATTTCCTAAAGGTGCCTTGTAATGCTATGTTAATACATGGCCATAAATTCTCCTTTCTTTATTGGTCCCCTTTGGACTGAGCCTATGTAGTGCCTTTTTAGTGAAAAAGACCTCTCCTGTATTTCTTTAGTAAACAATTTTTAATCTTCGTCATTCCTTGCTTTGAATTACTGACCACACAAACAATTTTCCAAAAGTTGAGTGATTAATCAATCTACAGCAGGCTCTAGGATTTAATTTCCTTATGAAAACTACAGGCAACCTAAGGATACTTCAGGGCTCTATAATCTACAGCTTATAAATTTGTAGTGGAGACAAAAGACTTCCTTGGCTCTGTGATTTAGTTGGAATCTGCACTATTCCAGAGTGGTGGTCACCTGAAATCTTCACAGAATCACAGAATCACAAGGTTGGAAACGACCTGCAAGATCATCCAGTCCAACCACCCTCCCATTCCTATCAGTGCCACAAGCTACTAAACCATCTCTCGTAGCTCCTCATCCAGGCACCTCTTGAACACTGCCAGGGACGGCGACTCCACCACCTCCCTGGGCAGCCATTCCAGTGCCTGACCACCCTTTGAGAGAAAAAGTTTCTCCTAATATCCAACCTAAACCTCCTCTGGTACAACTTCTTGCCATTTCCTCGGGTCCTACTATTTGCCTGGGAGAAGAGGCCAGACCCTTTTGCACCACAACCTCCCTTCAGGAAGTTGCAGAGTGCAGTAAGTTCTCCCCTGAGCCTCCTCTTCTCCAGACTGAACAATCCCAGCTCCCTCAGCCGCTCCTCGTAAGACTTGTGCTCCAGACCCCTCACCAGTTTCATTGCCCTTCTCTGCACACACTCCAGGGCCTCAATGTCTTTCTTGTAGTGAGGAGCCCAAAACTGAACACAGCACTCGAGGTGCGGCCTCACCAGTGCTGAGTACAGGGGATGCTCACCTCCCTGCTCCTGCTGGCCACACCATTCCTAATGTAGGCCAGGATGCCGTTGGCCCTCTTGGTCACCTGGGCACACATCTTTCAATACTTTGTTCTCTCCTTCTCCTCTACCCTGTTCTCCATTGTTTTTATTACTCATTTCTGTCTGAATATAACCATCACCATTACAGTTTCAGTTTCTTCCTTCGTATCTTGGTAATTTCAACAACCAGTATTATTTGCTCTCTCATGAAGTCTTTATTCAGGAATGATAATAAAAAGTAATTCATCTGTTGTTTCTGATTAGGAAAACTTGAGCCTCGCTCAGGTTTTATGATAGTCTCTAAAATAGTTTTCTCTTTAGTATCATAGAATCATAGAATGGCCTGGGTTGAAAAGGACCACAATACTCATCAGTTCCAGCCCCTGCTGTGTGCAGGTCACCAACCAGCAGACCAGGCTGCCCAGAGCCACATCCAGCCTGGCCTTCAATGCCTGCAGGGATGGGGCATCCACAGCCTCCAGCCTCCACTGGAACTAAACCTGTTCCAGTGCCTCACAACCTCTGGGGGAAAAACTTCCTCCTCATATCCAACCTAAACCTCCCCTGTCTCAGTTTAAAACCATTCCCCTTGTCCTATCACTGCCCACCCTCACAAACAGCCGTTCCCCCTCCTGTTTCTACGCCCCCTCCAAGCACTGGAAGGCCACCATGAGGTCTCCCACAGCCTTCTCTTCTCCAAGCTCAACAAGCCCAGTTCCCTCAGCCTTTCCTCAGGTTAGCACTGCAGTAATGTTCCAGCTTTTTCAGTAGTGCATGTAGTTCTGTTGTTTCTTGTTACCAACAAAATTAGTATTTTATCCTTCTTTTTGTGTTTGTACATCTTCAGACCAGGTTTAAACCTATACAAAGAGAGAACTTGTTGAACAGTGTTCTTTTGCTGTTTTTCACGTAGGCCTGTTCCTATATCTGAGTTCTCACTCTTGCCCCTCTCCTTTTTTCTCACTTGTTTTTAAAGGAGCTTTGTTTGGTCTTGACCCTGTGATGGCTGGGTTTTCTTGTGGAATTGGAACACAGGGCACTTCTTCCTTTTGTTTGCTCTTTTCTATTCTTATTAGTTTTGAGCAAGCTTTCTTCTATCTAAGTGTAAACACAACAAATGCCTACAGAGCTTAAGATCTGCAGACTTAGGCCCATGTGCCAGACATTTATTCAGTTTGATAATATTTCTGCAAATATGAAAGAAACTGTAGAAGCAGATTCACTTTGTTGCTACTTTGCTTGATTGCAGTTGTCTTCCTTCTGTGACTAGTCCTAACTGTTGGGCCAGGTAGCAGTTATGTTGAAGCTGTGGAAAAGAAGTCATCCATCACAGCTCCGCTTTGTATTGAATTGAATTGTATTGAACTGTTGTAATTGGTGCTCTGTAGATTGTGGCTGCTAGGTAAGATTGAGAGAAACGTGGGGAAATTATAGTTAGTGAACTGTTGGGGAATAAATCAATATTTAGAGCTGAAAAGCAGTTTTTTCATCTGTTCATGTTTTGTCCATGTTTTGATTGTGAGTGAATGAAACCTGTTCATCTGAATCATCGTATGTAAGAAAGGATGAGACTTTCATGCATGTGTACTTGAGGTACTCATACAGACAAAAGGATTTAATATCACGATTTACAAAATCTCTGTGTAGAGACTTCGAAACTGCTAGCAGTCAGTTATGAAAAGAACCCCACAATAAATAATGTGTATAACAAATATCATGCTTGTGAAAACGAACCAAGTTTATAACAACCTAGGGGCTGTTTAAATAAAGGCAATTTTTATTTTGAATGATACAGTCATCTTATTTCTTGGGCTCTTTTTTTGTCACTGGTAACCTTTTTGTCCCAGATTCAGAGCATCACTGATGAATCTCGAGGTTCTGTCAGAAGAAAAAGCTCCTCTAGTCCACAATCCATTGGCCAAGATGTACAGGCACTGCTGAATAATGACTATGAAAAGGAGGAGGTAGCTAGAAGTAGCACTCTGTAGGTTTTTCCATTGCAACGCTTGAAGTGCCACTGTTGCAAACCAGACTAGCAATGAACAAGTTCCTTTCATTGCCCTCAAAGCAGTCCTTCATAAACCTTTAGTGCTCTCTGAACTGTACCTTCTTTCTCTAGATGTTGTTTGTGACAGTAATGACATCTTTATTTTGTCACTATTAGTTTCCACAAAAGAAATATTTGTTATCTGAGAGCATGTTTTTGTTAAAAGCGTAAATATTTGTTTCTTCTCTCAAAAATGTTAATAGTGGGTGTTAGATTAATATTTCATGCTTTCAGAGCATTGTTTTTTCTTTATAGTTGCTGTACCGAAGTGCTGAATTTTCTAAGTATGTATAGATGTATAGGATTTTTGTAAGTAGAAAAGGCTTCTTTGCATATTGATATGCAACTGTTACTCCATAAGAGTCACAACTACTTTTCTACATAGAGAGTTTGAAATTAAATGGACTGCTGTAATTAATGCTTTTAGTGTGCACTTCAAGTGTTGCTTATCTGGGTAGATTCAGTGCCTAGTTTGTAGAAGTGGTGCATTCCTTTGTTTCCCTTCTTGAAGTGTGAGAAGAATGCTTTATTATATATAATTAATTTGGCTACAAAGAGTAGCACTGAAAAAATGTGCCTTTTTTATATATGCAGTTTTATGAATATTTGCTATAGGTCCAGATTTTTTCTTGGGCCCATCTCTAGCTTCTATTAAAGCACAGTTGAACTCACCTCACAGCTGTTAGTTTTAGCACGTTGGTTACTGCTCTGCAGCATGAATCTGCATGAATTTGTTAACTTGTTCTGTTGTAAGAATTGCTGCTTTATTCACAAGTTATTCACAGTAACTTGTGATTGGTAGACTTGACTCATCAGTCAGTCTTCTGTGAGATGTGAAGACTATCAAACAAGTGGTGTTTATATGTGAACCACAGAATTGAGCTCTAGGATTTGGGAATCCTTGAGGTTAGACTAGGAACTAGAGAAATAATTTAGGAAAAACTTAGGAGCTTTTAGACTGTTAAAAACAGCTGAAATTACAAACCAAGAACCACTGGGGAATCAGTATTTAGAGATGGAAAACAGTTCTCTTATTTGCCTTCATTTTATTCATGTTGTTGTGACTGAAGGAAATCAATTCTCCTGAGTTGTCACGTGTATGGAGGGATCAAAGTGAACACATGAAGCTCTTGAATAGAATAGAGGACTCAGTTCATGATTTGACAAGTCGCTGCGGAGAGTTCAAAACTATTAAAACTTTAAAAATAAGCAAAATAAAAACTCCAACCAAGAAAAACACCACAAAACCAATCACTGCTCCCCTAATGCCCGTTCATTCAAACTGTAAGAGTCTAAGGTAGTGAACTTGTTCTGTTTTTGATGGAAACTACAGTGTTTATAGCAGTGTCAGAGCAAGTTAAAAATAACTGATAGTGCATTGTCCTAATGACTAACCTCAAACTGGATTCAGACTATTCAGTATGTTGTAAAAATCACATCCCAGCCTGAAGTTCACCTGCATAGATAAATAACTGGACTTCTACAAGCAATTTCCTTTCATGCCAGTGTCAAAACACTGATGTTTGTCTCGTATTTGTTCTCAAAATAAGGTACTCTTTTTTTCCTTCTTTTGCTACACTGCAGTGAAATTGCATTTCAAGAATTAATAACCTGTAACCTACAATCTTATTTTTTTTCTGTGTGTGGCCAGGCTCAGTTGATCCATGACAGAAACACAGCCTCACGCTCAGCTCCAGCTGTCAAAGCAAGTGTGGCTGCTGCCATGCCAGAAAAAGTGCAAATGACCTGGACTAAAGAGAAGTTTGTAGCTGAAAAACATAAAAACAAAGACACAAATGTGTCAGGTTTTAAGGATATTTTCAGCATGAAGCCGTAAGTACACACGTGGTGGTTGAAGCTTGTCTTTTTTGTGGGGGTTTTCTTGTTTGCTTTCTGTAGGTGTGTCTGTGTTGAGTTGTACAGTCTGTTTTCAAGAGATCCTGGTTGATTTGACATTGACTGAACATATGATCTTTCCATGAACTTAAATGCCATCCTTGTGAGACGGGCTGGGAGGGGTGACAGTGTTTCTAATGAACAGTTAATACGCACCTAAAATATTTACTAGAATGTCATGAATGAAGGTCGAATGCATCAGGCTTTTAAGATTTTCAGCTTCTTGATTGAAGTGTTTTGTTTCCTTCCTCAATACCTAATTATTGTGTATTATTTGCCTTAATTTTTTTGGGGGGGTGCAGCAAGTACAAAGAAGCAGATAGGAATTCTTGAAAATATTTAGTTTATATGGTTGTTTTTTCTTGAAAAAGACATTAGGTTTTCATCCTGTAAATTAAGTGTATAGCCACAAGTTTTATACTGCTCTATATGTATGTTTTGATATATTCAATCTTTTCTGGTGAAACTGTTATATTCCTTAATGTCTTTTTCAAACAGAAGACACTCAACACGAGCTACTTCCTGTGTCAGGCCTGATATAGTAGGCATACGTAACTAAAGAAGGGACATCAGCTTGTTCACTTCCTTCTTTTTTTTGTGATTCAAGTTGCACGTGTGCATCTTTTCTGAGGCCTGTAAGAAAGGAGTTCTAGGCATGGTCGAGTCAATTTTCTACACATGCTTAAAGCGAAACTGTCAATGTGCCATGCTCTTTGCAAAGAGTTTTTCTTTTGTAAATTCCAGACACCTTAGAAAATGAGGCCATCACCTTCTAGAATACCTTCATTTTGTTTTATTCTGGCCTCCATTATTCTCTCATTCTTAGGAGTTTTGTTGTTGTTGCATGTTTAGTTTTTTTAAAATAGGATCCTGTAAAGATTTCCTCTTATTTCTTTAGAATTGTGCAGAGTGTAGACTTCAACTACTCTTATTTAGAAACTACTACGTATCATTGGGAGTATAAATTACAATTTGAACTTGATGTGCTTGTACAGTTATTATTACTGGTGAATTAAAATGTTCTCGATACTATAAAAATAACTTCTTATGCATTTGCTTCCCTCCCATATAGAGAATGGGGAAATCTGTAAGTCTCTAAATTTCCTTTCATTTAAGCAATTTAGGCTTTGTTCCCTGGCTCTTGTGGTGGTGTTCTTTGTCTGCATGTTCCTAAGCCATGATTTGCAGTTTGTGTATTGATTTGTATGTTGTTTTCTATGCTGTGCTTTAGCATTTATCACTGAAAAACAGTTTGCATCATGACCTGTTAATGGCTTGGGGTTTTTTTTGTGTAAATATTATCAGTTTTCTTTTCAAGGTAAGTTACAGAGGAATTACTTTAGTTTCTGTAAGAATGCAAGACTTGAGTGCTCTTCTCCACCAGAGTAATATTTAGTTTTCTAATTAACTACCCCTAAAAGCTGAATATATACTTAGTGTGGAAAAAATATTCCCTCATGTAACAAATTCCATCCTTATGGTCCAGCTAGCTGTATCAGAAAGAGCTTTAACTTTCCACTGAATGCCAATTCTGGCTTTTCTACCATCCATGTATGGATATACATTGGGTGTGACACAAGCAGATGAAAATTAAAGAATTGAATCATAGTATCAAAGATTCTTTTATGTTGGGGTTTCTTTAAAGTTTCCTTACTTTCAAGATATCAAGTTCAGTTGTCAGCCTAACCTACTGAGTCCCATTAGCGCCACTATCAAATACTTCCAGGGAGAAGGAATCCACCGCTTCCCTGGGCAATGCATTCTAATGCTTGACCACACTCACCATGAGGAAATTTTTCCTAAAGTCCAATCTAAATGTCCCATGGTGCAGTTTGAGACTGTTTCTCGCTCTCTGTCACTCTCACCAGAGGAAGGAGACTGACACCTTCCTTCCAGATAACTGTAGAGACAGTGACATCTACCCTCAGCCTCCTTTCCTCTAAACCTGGCGATCCCGCTTTCCACAGCCAGTCCTCATGCTTTCTAGTCCTTTCACCACCTATGATAGTCTTTTCTGCATATGCTTGAGTAAATTAATATCCAGGAGAATAAAGTTGTCAGCTGTCAAAACACTTCACTAAAATTTTCACTAATAGCCACATCCTGCTCCTCACCTTCTAGGCAGATCATCATCTTGTTGGAGGAGATCGTTTAGTCAGGCAGGACTTGCCTTTCATAAACCCATGCATCTGATACACAAGGACTTGTGACTGTGTGTGTATTCTAGTTGCTTATAGAATTTGTCTTCTTCCTCTTCCACCTAGTTGGGTGATCTGCAGTAGACTCTCATCATAATACCAAATATACCTTGTTGACAAGCCCATAACCAAAGATGCACTTCTCTGACAGGAGGAATTCATCAGTGCCCAGTAAACCAGGTTTCTTAAAGAGAACTGTGGTCTAGAAAGCCAAATCCCTGGCTGTAACACCAGTCCTGCAACCATTGCTGATCTGCCAGATTCAAATAGACCTTTCAAAGGCTTTTCCTTTGACTGGTAGGATCAAAGAGAAGACTGTGTGCTCAAAGAGCATTTTGCAGTTGCTCAGAGGGGTTCTATAGCCCTCATGACATGACTGGGATGCTCCTGACTGTAATTGATGCCCACGTGATAAAACATCAGTGGATAAGTTGTCTATGGGCTGTTCAAAGCTTGGTAATCTCCTGGTAATGTTCCTAATGTGAGTCCCTGATATGCTGCAAGCCTCTACTGAGATTAAATCAGGTTGGCAAATGGGTGCTTCTGCTTGCCATGAAGGAGAAGCCTCTATGACTATCCCATAATGCTTTTTTTGTTTGCACTGTTCAGTGTACTGGGAACAGACCAAGTGGCTCAATTGACACTGGAGTCTGCTGTGACACAATGGGTCCTTCCTCTGCAGTCTTTGGAGCAGTGAAGTAGTTCTGCAAGGGCATCTCAGGCAGCAGGGAAGGTCTCATCCACCTTCCTACAGGTCCTTGCCATAACAAGCTTACATTTTTCTGTGTTTTGAGTGTTGTTCCTTTCAGTGTATTTTTGAGGGGGAGTTTCTGGTTGTAGGTCTGATGCAGACTGTGCATGGACACACATAATTCATTCTCAGGTTCCCTGAAGTGCGAACTTCTCACTGCCTATTGATGCTCAGCTACCTGCTGCAGGAGATTACTGTCTGGGCACGCTTCTTGCAAGCAGATCTGCTCCCTGTGCCTACAAGAGAAGTTCTAGTTGTTTCCTGTACTTCAGCCACTGTGTGTGGGTAGAGGCATCGAACAGTGCTGCTGTAGTGGTATAGACACTCCAGCTTCAACTGTAGCCTTTATGATTGCATACCATTCTGTCTTTAGAACAGAGAAGGCTTGCCTTTATCAGTGCACATGGTTGCTGCACTTTTGGACATTGCATCCCTTTTTGTACTTGGGTAGAACCAGCTTAAGACTGCTCTGCTTTTTGTTGTTGGTTGTTTTTTTTTTTTTTCCAGAGGTCAGTGTTGGCTTCTTTTTGTGAATTTGCCAGTTTGAGCAGCTTAAGAAAACTAGGAGGCTTACACTGTGTTCCATGTATGACTTCAGTTCAACCAGTGTTTGAAAGCTAAGTGAGCCTCAGTTCACACTGTACACAGTGAACTATTCTACCATTTATTTCAGCACTGAAATCCTGTCTGCCCCACCACACATTTATGCTCTTCCCATTTCCCCTGCATTTTATCTGTATTTTAAGAGAACTTCAGGACTTATACATCCCTTCAATTACTTCTATCTCTCTCCTCGTAGTTCTTATCAAGATGCTGTTCTGCCTTTGAAAAGCTGACCTTCAAGAATTGTGTTGTTCTATATGTGTTCTATATACAGTTTGTTCTTGTTTGGGACGTATGGCCCCATGACAGGGCAGACTGATAAACTTAGCTTTGGAAATGTTACTGTATTTCTTAAGGAGAACTGGAATTGGTGGGATTGGCCTCCATTGACCGCTAGGTTTTCAGTCTTCCATTTTTCATCTTTTTTCCTCTATATTTGCACCTGCAACACTAGGGATAAATGCACACTTCAAGATGTGCTGTATGAAGGGAATGTGTGAAGGGAACAGCTGTTAGTAGGAAAATGGGGCTTAACTATAGAATAGTAATGTCAATAATTTCTATTGTTTCCTGATCTGAAACAATGCTGGAGCATTTCTGCTACATTTTTGACTGCTGTTACTGGAATTGGACTTGGTCAGGCAATTCAGAGGATGTCTCATGTCCTGCTGCTACTAACTTGCCAGTCCACTCCCTGACCTAAGACAGTCTGTAGGTACTGCAGAGTGGAGCAGGGTTATGCTTTAACCAGCAGTCTTGCAGTAGAAGTGCTAAGGAAATTGCATGGGATATGGTGATGCATTTTGTGTCAGCCTGTCAGTTCTTCTGCTCTTGAGATCTGCTGTCACCATGTGTTTCCAAAGTTCCCTTTTGGAGCAACTGCTTCAATTGTAAAGGATCTGCTTTAGGACAGTGGATGTCTTTGATAACTGGGTATTTCTGTTGCACTGGTTCATGTGACTCATTTCCAGTTCTGGCTAATTTTGTTACATAAATAACAGCATGACTTCCTCAGGAACTTCCAACAAGGAAACTTTTTCTTCTGAAGAGAAAATAAATCACAGAAGGCAGATGCTAAAATAAAAACCCTGAAGTTTAAGCTGAAGTTTAAATGCATTTTAGATAAAATTAAAAATTCAGATGTATAAGATACATGTGAATTTATTAATTCAGTTATGTGAGTATTGTGTCAGTACCTAAAAATATTTGTGTGCTAGGAATCAGTCAAATGTGAGAAGAATGCACACTGCTGTGAAGCTCAATGGAGTGGTGCTTAATAAATCACAACATGCTCAGCTAGTTCTCCTGAATATGCCTGGACCTCCTAAAAACAGAAAAGGAGATGAAAACTGTATCCTTTACAATATTGCTCGTGTACTTCTTGGAACTTGATTCCACTTTGCATTTCACACACACAGAAAAGTACTAGCATTATCAACACTTGGAATTATCAACCACGGGGTTTTTGTCAACTGAATTGATGTAAGAAATTCCTCAGTTTTTAACTTGTCCTTTAAATTACTTTTTTCTGTAGGTAAGTAGGGTAGAATAACATGTTTTCCCATGGAAATCCCCTAAATTAATCCTCACTTCCATCTGAATAAGCAGGTGGAAGTGCCTTAGCATAACAGACAGTAAAGGGGAAGCTCCCTGATGAATGTGCTGTGTAATTGTACATCAGGTCTTGAGTCATTGGCAGCTGTTTTGCTTCTGTTCCGTGATCTTTGACTTAACAATCCTTCAGACATGGAGTTTTTGGAAGTTCTAACAGAAGGCCTGGACAGAGTTCTCCTAGTCCGAGGCAGTGGACGTGAAGTCATCACCATTTATTCTTAACCTTGGTTTTTTTCCTTTTTTTTTTTTTTTTTTTAAATTTTCTTTCGAATGAAGGGAACAAAATGTATAAAGTCTATCTGATGTAATTGGAGCAGCTTCATTTAAGAGCTTTAGCACATGGAAAAATGAAAATCGAGGTGTGGTTGTTTTCCTGCTAAAATGTTATATTTAAAAGTATATTTTGAAGACCTGTGAGAACACTTCTGTAGTGGGTTAGTAAATCCTGACTGGATTAGGATGTGTATAGTATACCACGATGTGTTAATCTGTGCTGAAACAACAAATCGTAATGCTGTGTTATTTTTAAACATACAGAAATATAAGGAACTTCTGTTTTCTTTATCTTTGTTCTGCTTCTAAATAAAAGGGAAAGTTTGCTTCCTCACTTACTAAGATGCTGCTATGTTGCTTCTGATGGGGTTAGTCCCTGGTTCAGGAAACTTCATTTAGAAATGTATAAAAGTAATCAAATTTACATGTTTTGCATACTGTAAAGTATTTCCCTGAAGTTTATGATTTGCCACGTCTGTTTTAAATAACATTCTCTGTTTAAAATACTTCAGGCAAGGAATTAAAAGGCTCCAGGTGAGGGTAATAGTAAGCTGCAAGCGTTTCTTTCACGTGAACTACTAGCAGATTAAGGAATACTGACCAATTAAGACAGTGTAAGTCATAGGAATTCCATGATGCAGCATTGCCACCTGCTGGAGATAAAATTACAGCAACTGGTAAACGACCAATGAAGTGTAATCTCTTTTTCAAATGTATTTCGATCAGAGTTGCATGCATGTGCTGCTATGAAAATACAGTTCTTCTGAAAAAAAATCTCGGATCTGTTATTTGTATTCGGTAAATAGTTTGAGGGCTGAATTCTTCTGAGGAAATAATTGCCCCTGTTGACATTCATTGCTGCTTGCTGAACATTTATGGAGACCAAACAGTAGACGTGAGCATAAGAGGTGCTGGGTGGTGTGTTTCAGCAGTGCTAGCAATGATGAGAAAGATGAGCTGTGCACCAGATAGCTGTGCACTGCTGTCGCACCACAAAAGGAGCAGTGGCTCCTTCAGCTCATCTCTGTGAGTCAGTCCATTACGGCCTGGAAGCTGAGTATGGAACTGAGTATCAGCTTCTGTGCGCTGGAAGCAAAGGTGGCAATGTTGGAATATTGCAAAGTTTGCACCAGTTGGTCCATGAATGCTCACACACGAACAGAAAGAACACCATATTCACATAACTTCCTCAGCAACCGGTGTAATACTAACAAACACATTAGATGAACTTCATTTGTTGGTTTTGGTTTTTTCTTCTGTTTTTCCCTCTTCTCCTGCTGCATCTTTGGGCATGGAGATGGAAACATCTCACAGGAAATACTATTTTATCATCCTACTCAAGGAAATGGATCAAAACTACTTAACCAGTAGCAGTAACAGAAAATAAAAAATGATATGAAGTGTTGTTAGAGGTAAAAAATTGTATAAATTCACATCTCAGGTTCTAGATAGTTCCAAAATGAATTAATATTGCTTTTAAAAGTAAACATTCAAGATAAATACATGCAGCTTTGCTTATTTGGAAGGGTAACAAATACATAAATTGCTTACAGTGAAATGAATATTTCAGTAGAAAGCAACCAGAACACAGGGGCTCTAATCTAGTTCCACCTTGCTGCTCACCACCCTCTGGGGGAAAAAATTCCTCCTAATATCCAACCTAAACCTCCCCTGTCTCAGTTTAAAACCATTCCCCTTGTCCTATCACCATCCACCCTCACACACAGCCGTCCCCCCTCCTGTTTCTACGCTCCCTCCAAGCACTGGAAGGCCACCATGAGGTCTCCCACAGCCTTCTCTTCTCCAAGCTCAACAAGCCCAGTTCCCTCAGCCTTTCCTCACACAGAGCTGCTCCAGCCCTCTGCTCATCTCAGTGCCTCCTCTGGCCCCGCTCCCAGAGCTCCACGTCCTTCCTGTGCTGGGGCCCCAGGCCTGGACGCAGTGCTGCAGATGGGGCCTCACAAGAGCCGAGCAGAGGGGGACGATCACCTCCCTCTCCTGCTGGCCGCCCCTTTTTCATGCAGCCCAGAGCACAGCTGGCCTTCCGGGCTGCAGGCGCACACTGCTGCCTCATGGCCAGCTTCTCGCCCACCAGGACCCCAAGTCCTTCTGCGCAGGGCTGCTCTCAAGGAGATCTGCCCCCAGTCTGTATCAATACCTGGGGTTGCCCCAACCCAAGTGCAGCACCTTGCACTTGGCCCTGTTGAACCTCATTAGGTTTTCGTGGGCCCACTTCTCCAGCCTGCCCAGCTCCCTCTGGATGCTTCCTTTCCCTCCAATGCATCGACTGCACCGCTCAGCTTGGTGCCATCTGCAGACTTGCTGAGGCTGCACTCGATGCCATCGTCTGTCACTGATGAAGATGTTGAAGAGCACCGGTCCCAAGACCGACCCCTGAGGGACACCGCTGGTGACCGGCCTCCACTCCAAAAAGAGAGTATATGTATATGTATATATATTTATATGGGAGCAAAAAGTTCAATGTTAACACATCTAGGTTGTAGGAAACAGCAACTCAGAAGAGTTATGATTATCAATGGAAGCAGAACAAAATATTGTATAGCAAATTGCCAAAGCTTATTTCTGACTCTCAGGTGAGAAATGTACTTCAAATGAAGAAATGTACTACAAATGTACTTCAACTTGCTCTGCAATTATAAATTGTCATGAGAAATATTCTGGGGTTCAGTGTTTTAGGTGGATGACCTTGGCGCCCGGTCTTTTGTTCAAATATTAATCCCAACCCCCATAGAAATAGGGAGGCTGTAATGTGTGCCCTTGCACTCTTTAATGTAGAAATTTCCCATGTGCCATAACATCCAATTTCTGTTGTGGCACAGGGTGGAATTTCTGAAGTTATAGCAGATTAGGAAAGCAAGAAATTATCTTGCTCACACACACTGTTTATGCAGCAAGCTTTTATGAACAGTTTCACTCCCTAAAGATGTGAGGGAACTTTTTCTAATGAAAAAAACAAAAGAAGGAGAGGGGCAGGAAAGAGTGGGTGGTGGAAGCGCTAGCAGTGGTGCGGCTACGTATTGGCTAACTGAGCAGAATGTTAAAAAGCAGAACAATATGCTGAAGAGATAAAGGAAAGCTTTATAATCCACATGGCAAATGGATTATATGGGACTATTTAAACAATCTGAGAGATATTTATGCATTCTAACAGGAGAGGAGCAATTGTTTAAGCAAGCCAAAAGGACTAAGTGTCAGCCAGTGAGCAAAATACTGTGCAAAGTCTTAGCCAAATATCAGGGGGTTTGGGCTGCTTCTGAAGTAGTCGGTACTGAAACGCAGCTCGTTCTGGCACCTCGACTGCCAGTGCTGAACTGGATGTTTAAAGGAAAGGTTTCCCCCACCCATCTTGCTACTGATGCCACTTGGAGAAAGTGGGTTGCACTGATTACACAATGAGTGTGGATGGGGAACCTCAGCCATCCAGGGATCCTAGAGATCATCATGGACTGGCCTGAAGGTAAAAAGTTTGGAACATCACCAGCAGAAGAGGTAACGTGTGCTAAAGAGGCCCCACCATACAGTGAACTACCAGAAAGTGAGAAGACATTTGCCCTGTTCACTGCTGGAGCATGTTGCATTGTGGAGAAACATCGCAGATGGAAATCTGCTGTGTGGAGCCCTACACAACAAGTTGCAGAGGCCACTGCAGGGAAAGAAGCCAATTTGCAGAGGTAAAGGCTGTCCAGCTGGCCTTAGATGTTACTGAGCGGGAGAGGCAGCCTTTATCTTTACACTGACTCATGGATGGTGGCAAATGCCTTATGGGGGTGGTTACAGCAGTGGGAACAAAACAACTGGCAACAAAGGGATAAACCTATTTGGGCTGCTGAACTGTGGAAAGACATTGTTGCCCAAATAAAGAATACAGTTGTAAAGGTGCATCATGTAGATGCTCATGGGCCCAAGAGTCGGGCTACTGAAGAACAAAATAACCATCAGGTAGACCGAGCTGCCAGAATTGAGGTGGCTCAAATAGACCTGGACTGGCAGAACAAGGGTGAATTATTTCTAGGTTGGTGGGCCCATGAGACCTCGGGCCATCAAGGAAGTGATGCAACATACAAATGGGCTGGAGACCGAGGGGTGGACTTAACTGTGCACACTATTGCACAGGTTATCCACGACTGTGAAACATGTGCCATCATCAAACAAGCCAAGAGGATGAAACCTCTCTGGGGGGAAGGGTGATGGAAAAGTACAAATATGGGAGGTGTGGCAGGCTGATTACATCACCTTGCCATGAATCCACGATGGTAAGCGTTACGTGCTCACCATGGTGGAGGCAACCACTGGGTTTATTGCCACCAATATTCCGTTCCATGTTGTTGCTGTGTGACAGAGGGCAGCAGAAGGGCAGACTGACAAAAAGATGTCTGACACGGAAGTGCAGATGAAGCAAAGGAGTAGAATTGAATTTCTCCACGCTGAAAAATTGGCACCCGTTGACTTTCACTCGCTGAATGTTTATGGGAACCAGCAGCGGATGTGAGCACAGCAGAGTGGTGGGTGGTGTGTTTCAGCAGTGGCGACAGCAGCAGTGCAGCATACAGCCTGCTGTTCACTGCTGGCAAAAATGCATATCTAATGGTGGTGACTGTGCTGAGAATTAGCGTTTTGTAGCTGCGATTTTACTCAATCAAGCAATGTTATTGTGCTCCTTGTTACCGTTGTAGTTCTATGGAAACATAAGAGATGTTACTTCTGGAGCAACCTTTGTGTTTGCAGCCTAAGACAACTCCTAGTCATTCAGTGTGGCCCAAACGAGCAAAAGGCTGGACACTGACATGTTAAGGTAATGGTTACAGTCATGGGTTACAGTCTTAGGATTTGGGTTACTGTGAGTGTTAGGATTAGGTTTAGGGTTATAATTACAGCTAGAGTTAAGGTTTGCAATAGGGTTACTTGTTAGTTCTAGTTTATAGCTAGGTTTATTACTATTTTCAGGGTTACGTTTATTATTATTAGGGTTATGCTTAGAGTTAGATGTTGGAGTTGTGGGTTAGGGTTAGTGTTAAGTTTCAGTAGGGTTAGAGTTATCTAAGGATTATTAGGGTAAGGAATTACAGTCAGGTTCCATTTAGGGAGAGGTTAAGGGTTAGGGTAAGGGTTAGATTCAGTATTTGTCTTATGGTTATGTTTAGGTTTAGGACTGTGGTTAGGTTTTAAGATTAGGCTTGGGGCATTGGGTTAGCTTTAGGGTTTACCTTTGGTTTAAATTTAGGATTAGGGTTTAGGTTTAAACGGGTTTGGACTACCTCTGTGGTTTATGTTAGGGATTTGCATTAGAAATAGAGAAGGAGTTAGTTACAATTAGCTT